GGCTAAACACTTCTATGTGCAGCCCAGCCTCACCCAGACTCTGCCTCCAGCGGCCCCCAGGTAAATTGTGTTTGAGACCCCTGCTTTAGATAGACATAAAGATGTCTCAATGGAAAGAATGGTGTTTTGAGAAAAGATGCAGGACTGCTGTGCATGTGTGTGACTGTTCTGGATGGAAGGGGTGAGAGGGATACTTGGATGATTATCCAAGGAGGTGCAGTTCAGGTTTTTTAACTGTATCAAGAAAAGGCTGGGCATTTATAAATCTTCTCTCCTTTTTTTCAAATAGACACAGTCTGGTGAGGGCTAGATGCTTCTTTTTCATCATTGGGGAAAGTTTGAGAAGTTTTCCTAGATAGATTGATTATACCCTAGATTATGCACGTATGATGGGAAGCCACAGCTGGCAACAAACATATATAGCCCTTTTGGATTGCATAAATGCTTGTGCCTTTGGACATAATTTACTGCTTACCAGAAAATGATTCTAAGGCAAAGGGATCTGCTATAAAGTTCCTGATGAGGTCACATTGCCTTTGTCATTTAAGCCTCTCAGCACTAACCAATATTATATTTATTCTTGTTACGTCCTTTACAGCATTTTTATGCTTTGATTCCAAATTTTGTTTTCAAATTGTAGGAAGCAAAGTCCAGTTTTTATTCATTTTGTTTTGTTTTGTATTAGAAACCAAGAAATCATGAATTCTAGTCTATGCTTAGGCACAGAAGCTGGCCGGGGGACTTTGGCCAATCATTCTCTTTCAGTCGAACACATGTTGTAGAGAAAAATAGGAGGTAGCAACAGGCATGCCATCTTGAAATTTAAGAAAATAAAGATGGAGTAGAAATCTAAATAAGAACACCACCATATGTATGTGAATATGTAAATACAACATTGTATCATTGATTATAAACTTTTTAAAGAATTACTACATTCCCCTTTGTAGAATCCTGTCTTTTAGGATAATTGTTTAGAATATACAAAAAGGTCCCATAAAAGCATTAAGGGTTTTAAAAAGGGAACTCTCAGAAACCTCGGAAAAAATATTTCAGATCTATAAAACCAAATGAAGATCTCTCAAGCATGTTATCTATGAAGGTTCTCAGTCATTCAGATCATGGTTGTTCCAAAGGTGCTTTTTCAAGAGGCAACTGGACTTTCTGGTTTTTCTTTGAAAACCTTTCACTTCTCATCCAAGGATGGCCTCTGGCTGGATGGTGGGGAATGGAAGGATTTATACTCCTTGCAGACAGCTGGACATTTGCATTCTCCCAAGCATGTTCAATATCTTGATTTATTGTACTATGTAGGGTTATTTATTGTATTTCCTAGAATAAACTCTTAACTATGAACGTTGTGTGCTTTAAGGATCGTTCTCTGTCAACACTTAGCAAGGATTCTAAAAGATACACTGACATGAGGCTATAGGTACCTAGGAATAACCTCTCACTTTATTTTTTTTTATTTCATTTTTATCCACTTTGTATTTCATTAGCAACATGTAAAATGAATTGCATACAAGTTTTGTTTTATCATAAATTTGATACATACATGTAGGTTTGATCACATATTTATTGCCTTGTTTAAACTTTCCCTAGAAATAAAAATCAGCTAGTATTGGAACAGCTGTTAATATTTCAGCTTTGAGTATCCAGCTGAATTAATTTCATTCTATTTCAGCTGTTGGCTGAAAAAATCAATTATACCTTGCTGGTCCCTAAGCTTGTTACTCACATAGTAATCTGCCCAGAAATCTACCTGTATTCACTGGGCTGTGCATTAACTTTACTAATGAATCTTTGTTAGTGTAGTCTCCAGAATGAGGTTGAAAATCATAATCTGTTTAAAAATCTGCTTTGGAATATTTAGTGATAAATTTGTTGTGCTTGTCTTGAGCCTATTTCAGATGCCACAATCCTCTACTAGAAAATGATAATTCTGAGACCTAATGCCGTACAAAACATGTTTATTTGAAAAATGCTTTGTTTTAGTCTTCTATTTCATGCCCAGGCTGGATATACAAAACTTTATTATCAAATTACAGGGCACCTGTTCCAGCTTTGATAATTTAAATAAGCAAGTGCTTTTCCATGGTCACACTGCCTTTTTAGTATTACTACTTGAAATCCTTCATTTAGCAAAAACAAAAATGAAAAGGTATTCATTTGCAAGAAGGATATACAGTATAATGTTACGTCTTATATCTAATACAATATCTAAAGAAAAAATTGAGATTTTTTTCTTTAAATATTGTATTAGATATTTAGATATCTTAAGCTATTATATTGAATACAGTATTTGCCAGTGTGGGTTCTTATTTGCCTGGGTTTTATTAGATATTTAGTACTGTAGGTTCTTATTTCTCAGGATTCATTTAATAGGAAATAAAAATATTTACTATAGCGGATATGGCCAATTTGGAATCCTATAGAAGTTCTTGAGCTTATGCAGAAACCTTTCTTAATGTGGCCATTATGGGAGATGCCCACTAATTTACTAGAATTTATCCTGGATTCATAACGTCTGGTTTGTTACTCTTGCTGGTAATTGTATAATTAATATTACTTGCAGTCTTTAATAAAATGGTGTGAAAATTGCTACAATTAGTAACTATTTTATGCAGAAATTAGAACCATTTTTAAAAAATTAAATAGTAGTACAAGTTTGCAGCAGTTTACTACAGCAGTGACTAAAGGATATTATGTTTTCTGCTTAGTGAATCATATATTCATGTATAGGATCATATGGAGAAAACTAGGTTGGATGCTTGCTATATTTAGATCATCATACTGTTGGCCAGAAAATAGACTTATTTCTGCTTGAGCTGTATAGAATAGGTTGACAGTAGCAGCAGTTGGAGATTATTAGAATAGTATTATAGGAAAACAGAACTGTTATTCCAGTGGCTATATCAAAAGGATTATGAAGATGATTATGTGTTGTCTTTGCACATTCAAAGCTTAATTCTTAATTTAATCAAGCTGCTATTCTTTCTGAATTGAAACTAGGATCAGACCTTGTTTACAAGCCTGAATTGAGGTTAGAACTCAAACTGTAATTTATAGTTTTAGATCTGATGGTGAAATGATTAATTTAGATAATGAAATATACTGGGAATATGGAAGAGGACAAAATAAAAAAGGGAGTATGCAAACACAGTGTTCATTCACTGCAAACCATAGTTTGGGAAATGAATGAAGCTGTTATATGGCTATTATGAATCCTTTCTATGAGCTCAGGCTGTTGACTTTTGCCATCTTACATAATAGCCTGCGACAGGAAAACTAAAAAACTGTGACTAGTACTATCCAAGAACTATGAGCAAACTTCTCCTAATCTTACTCAAGATAGTCTTTTCCAACTCTGAATTCCTTCATCAGCATCAGTTAAGTTTCAGTTCCTTTTCATTCTTTCAGTTTCTCATTATGGATTTCATAATATGAATGGCTACAGGGAAAGGGTCTTTTCTATGAAGGCATTTTCATTTTAAAATAACTATTTTCCAGCAATATGCATCTAGTTATTAAAATTTAGGCATCAAACTAGGTTCTCCCTAGATTTTTCTGAGTTTTTAATGAATAGCTTGGTAGAATATTATTTATTTTATTTATTTATTTTGTCAAACACTTACAATATGATAGAAATAAGGATAAACGTAAGTTTAAATACAAGAAATAGGAACTAATAATTGGGGACAGTAGGACAGGGACGGTAAGCACGATTGTGTACTTTTGCACACCCCTTACAGACCTCTTAGGAATGGAATTATAAACAGATTATAATTTGTAATTATAAAAATGTTTTGTATAGTTAGCTACTTAGAAGGTAATTTATATAAACAAAGGCAAGGGCTTTTGCTTCTTAAGCAGGCTTAAAGCTTTTTTAAGTTTTTATCATGAATAAAAGTGTTATTGTGTTATTAAAATGCATAGAAACAGTGTAAATCCATACTGTCAAAAGAGGTGGATCTTGTGGAATTCCAGAAGTAGAAGGCACCACTACTAAAAAGATCCTACATTTGGAAAATGCTATTTTAGGTCTGCGTATATAAGAATTTGAAAATAGGGTTTCCCTACAGGTCACACCTACTGAAAGCTTCTAAAGTATGATATGTTAGGCTCCCTTTTCACAGTTTTAAAAATCAGTACCAACATTCTGAATAGAGCTTGGAAATTAACTGCCAGGTAATAACGCTTATTTACAATATTAGCATAATATGGTTTGAGTCAGTAAAAACTAGACAACTGAATTCAAAACAAATTGTGTTTTTTTTTCAAATATAATATGTTTAATGATAATACAATTTATTTGATATTATGATTTAGAAAATGTCTTTGCTATGAAGTGTGAAAGTAGCCATATCCTTAGTATCCATATTAAATGGCAGGAAATTTTCCTGTTGAGAGTATATTCTAAGTTAGGCCTATTCAGTAGTTTGGCCTATTCTATGAAATCAATCTTCAGGTAAAATTGTGACCCAAGCTCAGAGTGATGAAAAGATCATTTAGAATTGAGTTACATACTCAAGGCCAATAACAATTGCTTACAGTTGTGTTTGTAAATTAGAAGAATAGCATGGGTGTGCTTGTTTTACAGACTGATAATGGGCAAACTGTCTGCTTTATGAAAGCATTAGATAAATGCTCAGGCAGAGGGAGGCAGATGTTCACTATGGTAGTTCCATGCATTACATAGAGCTGTTAATAACTGTATAATTAAGCTCTGCAAATATGTATTCTCATAATGCTTTAAATTTAGTTATCAGTTTTCACCTAGTGAAGTATTTTTCTTAAACATTTTTATTTTGTAATGTTCTGAAATGCTGCAGTGTGACAAAATCATAAAACAACTGCGTAATATACCTCATTACCTTTTAATCTGGTTTTTAAAAGCTTGTTGACATGTTTTGCTTGTAAACTGGAGCCTATTCTTGAAATATCTTCTAGTCTCACATTCTTGGGAGTGATGAAATTTTATTCATACGTGTTTCTACTTATAGGTAAGGAATCTGAAACTGGAGCATGAGCAAGAGAAAAATAAGATCTTATCTGAAGCTCTGGAAACACTAGCCACTGAACACCATGAATTAGAGCAATCGCTAGTCAAAGGGTCACCTCCCCTTAGCATCCTTAGTGAGGAACAGTTCTATGATGCTATATCTGGTAAGTGTGTTGAAATATATTGCACTAATGTATTTATGATTGGTAGGCATATATAGATGTTAATAATGTTAATTGTGGATACACACAAATATACACTGCTCCAAAAAATAAAGGGAACACTTAAACAACACATTGTAACTCCAAGTCAATCACATTTCTGTGAAATCAAACTGTCCACTTAGGTAGCAACACTGATTGACAATCAATTTCACATGCTGTTGTGCAAATGGAATAGACAACAGGTGGAAAGCATAGGCAGTTAGCAAGACATCCCCAATGAAGGAGTGGTTCCGCAGGTGGTGGCCACAGACCACTTCTCAGTTCCTATGCTTTCTGGCTGATGGTTTGGTCACTTTTGAATGCTGGCGGTGCTTTTACTCTAGTGGTAGCATGAGACAGAGTCTACAACCCACACAAGTGGTTCAGGTAGTGCAGCTCATCCGGGATGGCACATCAATGCGAGCTGTGGCAAGAAGGTTTGCTGTGTCTGTCAGCGTAGTGTCCAGAGTATGGAGGCGCTACCGGGAGACAGGCCAGTACATCAGGAGACGTGGACGAGGCCAACAACCTCCACCTTTGTGCAAGGAAGGACAGGAGGAGCACTGCCAGAGCCCTGCAAAATGACCTCCAGCGGGTCACAAATGTGCATGTGGCTGCTCAAACGGTCAGAAACAGACTCCATGAGGGTGGCATGAGGGCCCGACGTCCACAGGTGGGGGTTGTGCTTACAGCCCAACACCGTGCAGGACGTTTGGCATTTGCCAGAGAACACCAAAACTGGCAAATTTGCCACTGGTGCCCTGTGCTCTTCACAGATGAAAGCAGGGTCACACTGAGCACATGTGACAGGGTCTGGAGACGCTGTGGAGAATGTTCTGCTGCCTGCAATATGCTCTAGTATGACCGGTTTGGCAGTGGGTCAGTAATGATGTAGGGTGGCATTTCTTTAGGGGGCCGCACAGCCCTCCATGTGCTCGCCAGAGGTAGTCTGACTGCCATTAGGTACTGAGATGAGATCCTCAGACCCCTTGTGAGACCATATGCTGGTGCGGTTGGCCCTGGGTTCCTCCTAATGCACAACAATGCTAGACCTCATGTGGCTGGAGTGTGTCAGCAGTTCCTGCAAGACAAATCATTGATGCTATGGACTGGCCCACCCGTTTCCCAGACCTGAATCCAATTGAGCACATCTGGGACATCATGTCTTGCTCCATCCACCAACGCCACGTTGCACCACAGACTGTCCAGGAGTTTGGGGATGCCTTAGTCCAGGTGTGGGAAGAGATCCCTCAGGAGACCATCCGCCACCTCATCAGGAGCATGCCCAGGCATTGTAGGGAGGTCATACAGAGCCTCATTTTGACTTGTTTTAAGGACATTACATCAAAGTCGGATCAGCCTGTAGTGTTTTTTTCCCACTTTAATTTTGAGTGTAACTCCAAATCCAGACCTCTAAAGGTTGCTAAATTTGATTTCCATTGGTAATTTTTGTGTGATTTTGTTGTCAGCACATTCAACTATGTAATGAACAAAGTATTTAATAAGAATATTTCATTCATTCAGATCTAGTATGTCTTATTTTTGAGTTCCCTTTATTTTTTTGAGCAGTGTATAATCTGCAATCCCCATTCAATTTATTGAATGAAAATTAAGAGCTTAATTAAAAATAAATTTATGAGTGAGATTCAAAAGTTAAGTACAGTAACTACCAGCTCAGGCACCAAATTAAAAAATGGTGCTGAATTTATGAAAACGGATCACGACATGTTGCACGTAGTTATTAAGATTGTATTACTAAAATGTATCAGTTTAACTCTAATAAAATCACTTACCAGATTCAAATGTTGCTCTTGCTTTTTGCTTTTGCAAAAAATCCAAATATCAAATCCAAATATGCCTCAACAGACAGGCATATTTTGGCTTATTCTTTGCTTATTATCATTTTGGTAGCTGTTTAGGATATCCCTTTAGGCACCATTTTGTTCTGTGCAAAAAAAGTGTATTTGGGAACAAGGAGCACTGATTATGTGAACCTTCATGAATTTTTGAATCAAAGAATCTGATTTTCTGGTTAGATTCGAACGAAGGATTCTTTAGATTTAACATGCTAAGAGTACATTAAAATATGTTTAAAAGAATACTTTACCAGTAATTCACATTTCAGAACAAAGACATGGCAATATGAAATAGTTTAGGTCAGGGCTGTCAAATGCCCAGCCCACAGACCAGATGCGTCACACACTGGCCACGCCCACACCCAGTTTAGTGAAGGGGGAAAAAGTCCCGATAGGTCACGTGACGTGATGCAACGACGTGAGTTTGACACCCCTGGTCTAGGCCAATATGAAACCTGGAAAACCTTGATATATTCCCAAAACTATTTTTAAGTTGTGGGTTTGAAATGTAACAAAAGGGAGCACATTGTTAAATAGATGAGTGAAGAATAGTTTCACTATATTTAATTAAATAAACATCCATTCCATATAGTGTATACCTGATCCAAATAACTGATTTGATAAGTGGGGTCCTTGGTGCTCTGTAAGCTTGCCTGTTTTCTTGCAGATGTTTCATTACCCATACTAGATAACATCATCATTGCTACCAGTAGTAAGGAGTGCTATTTGCTGTTAATTTATATCATGTCAGTATTGGTGGGGGTGGTTTTAAGAGATTATTTGATTGGACTGTTGGCTGTTGGCTTCTTTGGTAGTTTCTTGATTGTGGTATTGTTTACTTGATTGATGGTCTGATGTTAACCTTGGAGTTAATCTATGTTATCTGGGTGCTGGTGGGGAGGTGCTTGGGTCTTTTTGTTCCTTTTGGGACTCTTTTGCAGTCTAGTTTAGTCTATAGATGTTGTTAATGTCTGTGTATCTATTGATGGCTGATTTGTCAGAGTCCCAGACTTCTACAAATGCCCTGGTGTTTTTTTTACTTAGATTGGACTAGGATCGTCACATTTTCCAGTTGAAACTATGGTTAAATCTGTCTATATGTTGTGAAATTAAAAGAATTTTCATCATGTCTTCTGAGTGCTATTTGGTGTTCGTGAATACATTCTGCCAGTCTTCTGCCTGTTTGTCCTACGTAGTGGTTGTTGCAGTCCTTACATTGTTGTAAATAACAACCATAACCATAAAAGGGACATGGTTAAAACAAATGGCTGCCATAGTAACTTGTAATCCTAATTAAGGGCAGCAATTAAGAAGGAAGCAACCAACACTGCCCTAAGACTACTTGTGTTGCTTTAGCATAGGGGTCACCAATCTTTTGGACCTCAGGGACCACCAAGCTCATAATTTTAACTAATTTTAATTTTAAAACTCATAATTTTAAATCCCGGGGACCACTAATATGAATTTTGACTGATGGTGGCTTACTGACATTGGTGGGAGAGAGATAGATAGATATCTGATCTAACCTCTTTCTCTCCCTCTCCCTCCTTCCCTCTCTCTCTCTCTCTCTCTCTCTCTCTCTCTCACACACACACACACACACACACACACACACACACACAAATACACAGAGGCAGGGGTGGGATTCAAATTTCTTAACTGGTTCTGTGGGCATGGCCTAATTTGTGGGTGTGTCTTGGTGGACATGTGACTGGCTGGACAGGGCTTGTATGTAAATATTATAAATATTTATTTAAATATTAATTTTTTTATTTAAAAAAGCAACTTTTACATAAAATCATGCAAAACAGGCAGGCAGATTGAGCTGCTCACAGAATCACAGATTCACTCAGAGATCTATCTTTCTGCCATTGGCTATCTGAGTCTGTCACATAAAATTTGCTTGCAAGCAAACTCATAAAATTAACTCACACCACACCATGTATGTAAATATTGAGTTTTGTATTAAAAAAAGAGCAACTTTTACCCAAAATCAGGCAAAGCAGGCAGGCAGATTCATTCAGAGATCTATCTTTCTGCCATCTGCTACCCGAGTCTGCACTGAATAATAGAAGCTTCAGTGTTAAGGGAGGTTCAGCTCTGCTTAAAAGCAGAACCGAAGATCTAAAGATGAGCTAGAAAGCAAGAAATCCAATGGTTTCCTGCTTTCTACTTAATTTAAATTTCCCAGCACAGCAAAACAGCTGATAGTCTGGGGGGGAAAGGAAAAATAGCAACTTAGCAAGCAAGTTTGCCAGGTAAGGAGTGAGTGGGCGGGGAGGGTTTCCGCAGGCCATGTGGGCGGTTCAGCCTTGTGTTCCCATGCAGCCTGGATTAATTGCTTAGAGGGGTGCTCTGGGGGTGACATTTCTCTGCAGACCACCAACATTTTCTCGCGGACCACCAGTGGGCCATGGCCCACCAGTTGGCGACTACTGCTTTAGCATGACCTCAAAATGTTATATGTTGTGTGTGTCAGCCAAACCTCTCTAGAGGAATGTGTGAAAACTTTGTCAATATTTTAATGGTATTATAAATAAGAAAGATTTAGAAGTACTATTGATTACCAGCTGAACATTAGGAAGTAGCAGCAGGCAGAATTAGAAAGAACAATGCAGTGCATTAAAAGAAGCATTGTGCCGAATTCATGGTTGGTACAGACAGTTGTGTGTAAAATTTAAGGAAGCTTTGGTCAAATTGTGGGTTTCTATAATTTTCTAAGAAAAGTTGACACAGTGGCAATGTGGTGCAAAATTAAAGATAGCATGTTTTCTGCAGCCTAATGCATATTTACTATGTATGTGTAATAATTTGCAGATTCAATGAATATGGCATGTGCAAATTTTGAGCACCCTTTCAATGATTTCCCTTCATGTAAATAACCACTTCCAGATATTTCCTCTGGCCAGCTAAGTTTCTGTTCTGGTTTTGGGAAGTCCTCTTCCTTGGCAAAATGGGAGCTGGATGCCTACCTATCAGAGATGGTTTTATAAATTCTTACAGTTGGCAAAGGACTGGACGTGATCATTTATAAGAACTTGTCCAGCTTACACATTCTCTAATTCTATGATTGAGAAATAAAGAAAAGCCCAGAATGGTTCTCTATTCTTGGATTAGACAACTGTACCAAATGCATTTAGACAATGGAATCATTTCTCAAGAAAAGTATGGTAATAACTTGGGTAATTATTGTCAATTAGAAGCTGAACTGCCACCTTTTGGGGAATATTTTAATATGGATTTTGGCATTAATTTGGTTCCCTGTGTTGGGCAGGGATTGGTCACAATAGCCTAGGTTAGCCTTTTAATAGCCTTCAAAACTGTGTTTCTGTGACATATAATTACTCACCTGCAACCTCAAGTGATAGTCCTTAATGCTGAACAGTTTGACCATCACATGTTATAAAACTTCCAGTCATGCTGCTTTGACTTGGTCAAATGCTGTCATCCGTATCACATTGATAGGCTATTAAATTCTTGTGCTGTGTGTGAAGATTCTGTTAATTAGTCTGTGAAAGATTAACCCTGAAGCTGAATAAATCTACACTTGTCTATCTTGTAGATTCAGAATCTGAAAAATCATTTACTGGATTTGAAACCGTGACTAGCTTCTCATTGGAAAACAGCGAGGATTCTAGTGACACCATAACAGCTAACATGTCTGAAGAAAAATCAAATAAAAACCGAGAGACTCTATCAAATGGCATAAAAAAACACAGGTATGGTTTTGCCTAGTATCCTGAGAGGTAGCCTCTATTGCTGTGCTGACAAAAGCTCATCCAATATCTCTAACTGATAATTGGGGATACTGCTGCCTCTTCTCTGGAGAACAGTGAAGAACAATAACAGCTGCACCTTAACAAGAACATTTTTCTTTTTTTTATGAATATTGGGGAAGAAAATTTAAATGAAAAATACTATGATTTTATCATAATGCAAACTAAATAGAGGAATTCTTAACCATGCACGTTTCTAATTCATTTAAATTAGTCTTATTTAAAATCAATAGTGTCTCTTATTTCTTCATGTTTTTGTAATGTGTCACTGCTGCTTTTTTAGTTTCCAGTTAACTTGATCGCCTTCATCTGTTTATACCAATTAGAGCTAACCTATAATTTCAATGTATGTTTAAAAAAAACATTAAGAACAAAAAAAGTGACCCTAGGTAGAAGAGTTGCGTTCAGATATTGCTCTTCATCTGTTCTTTTTAATCTGTAACAAAGAACAATCGTTCCTTGGTTACATGTAACGATACCCAGTTTCTCAGGTTTCACTAGAGAGAGAACTTAATATGTGTACTTTTTCCCTTCCAGTTTGCATACAGTTAAAAGGAATCTCTATTTGTCATTTGTTATTCTACTTTTTATAATGATTTTTTTCTTATATAATGAAAATAGGATTTATATAAGCAAGTTAACCTTGTGTCTCATATCTATTAATAGCTGAATATTTATAGCCGGCCTCAGTAATGCATTCTGTTCAGAGAACAGTATAGCTACAAAGAAAGACAAGTGAAACTATGACTTCTTCATTAATGATCTTGAATAGAGCTGGTGGAGATGGAGGAATAAATATTTTTAAACCCAAGCAAGTTAAAATGGTTGAATGAAGCCAGGAATTCTTCTTACCTCACTTAATTATGGTAGCATCCTTAATATCCTGTATTCTTTCTCCCAATGATATCCCTAAAATGCCTGTATCCTCTAACCTCTACAATATTCTAAATAAATAATAATTAAGTTTCTTAAGTCAGTTGGCTGCTTTTTCTGCGTAAACAAGCAGTGGTAATTTCAATGTTGTTTTAAGCATTAGAAGCAAGCAGTAATTTGGCAAGTGTCCATAAAACATCGTAAAATGCCATTGCCAAAAGTGTAAACAAGAGGTGATTGGAGCCTCCAGGCTCTTGTTTCCTATTCCTCTGAGGTTCCTTTACTTTCCACTACAGTGTCTCTCATTATGCTTTTGGATCATTACGTTTTCACATCTCTAATCTTGACCCATATTTTCCTCCTTTTCCCTTTTTTCTTCTTTTGTATTTATCAACAATTAAAGATTATTACTGACTTTTTATGGACTTGGGGTAGCATTTTGAAAACACTGAGCTAGGATTTTTCTTGAGAAGTAAAATTGAACCGCATGTGTGCAATTCAATTACTGCTGAATGCCTTCTTCCAAACTATATTTACAGTATTTGATCTCTTTATCTGGCACTACTCAGGGAACTGATGTCTGCACGCATATTGATGTCAATTGTCATGCCTCTGTGGGAAAACAAGTCTAAATTTTGCTTTGCAGAAAACTTCCCCAAGGAGATAAAGCTGTTCAGTGTTTCTGGCTATCTTGGGGTTTTTATATGGGTTGCTCGTCTTGTCATCTAATTACACTGCATTTATAACATAAATATGTGAATGTTTTATCTTAGGGGTGGGATATTTATAATTGTGTCTTTGGGTTGAAGCAAGATGTGTTATCGCATGTGTGCAGCTGTTTTGTTTTAATTCTAAACATATTTTGGGTGAAAGTAATAAATACTTATTATGACAACAACTTTAGTATTGTTTATGTTCCATACAAAAGAGAGATCTGGCCACAACCTAGGATTCAAGCTATTGTGACATTTTTTATTAGGGAAGACAATTTTTATGCACCCTCAAAATCTGCTCTATTGGCACCAGCCCACAATAAACAGGGACACTGACTATAGACACTGATCCTATAAATTGAAACTTCTTCTACTGACAGAAGTATATGATTTCACTTAGAAAAAAATATACTGTAAAACTTTTTAAAACACTTCTTTAAAAATAATTACAAAGAAAGCCATATTGGATAATGTTACTTCAAAAGTACTGAACACATAAGCCAAAGAACACATTAAGTATGAGCTTCCCAAATGTGTCTTTTGTTTTTCAGGTTTTTACCCTACCTTTATTAATTTATAATAAAGACAACAAACATACATAATGTCCCTTCCTCCTTTTCCCCACAGCAACTCTGTGAGGTGAGTTGGCTGAGACAGAGTCACTGGCCTGAAGTCACCCAGCCAGCTTTCTTGCCCAAGGCAGGACTTGAACCAGTATAGAAAACTAGCTAAACAACATACAATTAATTATCTGTGCACATTTATGTTATATTGGATTAAAAAATGGTTCTCCTTGGATTGTGTAAAAACTGTCACATTTGTTTTTGATAAGAGATCATATATTTCCTACTTACCCTGTTTTCTAAACAATTCTGTGAAATTTATTAAATTGAGTGATTTTTGGCCAGTTACTATCTCAAGCATTCAAATTTGAATCTGGACTGCTCCAGGAACTCCCTAAGAATAGACAGTTGGATTTTTACAGTTTCCATGCACACTTTCTTTGTTTACAAGTGCTTTGTTGATGGTATCAGTAGTTGATTTATTTATCTGCTGTGAAGGAGTGCCATTTGTCAGTGAGAGCAGAAATTAATGGTAGAACGGATAAGGTTCTTTCTGCCTTCCTCTTCTTTGATTCTTGTAGATTACAGCACTTTCTATGGGAACCTCCACCTCACCCGAGATGAATTGACAGATTTTCTCTTCAACATCATTTTAAAGGAAGAATTGAAGGTGGGGGAAAGTGCATCTTGAAGCTCCACCATTGACAGGAGTTTAGGCTCTGTCAGAAAACTTAGTACTACTACTATAACATATAAAGCTAGTTTCTTCACATTTGGGCCACAGCAGTAAAATGTTTGTAGAACAGGGAAGCAAGCCATTCTGTTTAGAAGGCAAGATAGTTAACTTTCGAAAGTACCTCAAACCTAGATTAAGACCAAAATCAGAGTGAAACGATTGGTCCTGATTAGTCTGAGTGTAGAGCAATATGAAATGGAAAAAAATGCAAGAAATCACTTTTAATGTTTATCATTCTAAGTCAGGATTTGTCACTAAGGTTTGCTGAGCAAGTCAGATTGCTCAACAAACCAAACAAATTTAATGGTTTCAGCAGTTTCCTATCGATTTGTTCCACTAGTATCCAAACGCCCCAAAGCTAGAAAAGTCCATTCACCCTTTGAATACATTTTGGGAGGTAAAGTTCATATGTGCAGGTTGTTTTGGCTTTGGAGTTTTTGTTGAGGTTGAGTGGGTAGAATAAGCCTTTTGTATCCATTTTGTGTGTGTGTATATATAGGTGTGTGTATAGATAGATAGATAGATGATAGATAGATAGATAGATAGATAGATAGATAGATAGATAGATAGATAGATAGATAGATAGATTAGATAGACACACAGACACACAGACAGAGAGAATACTTACTTGTATCATGTGTTTTCCTGCATATTTTTGAGAAATGGTTTTTATGTGGACATGCTTTTATGGGAACTCAGTATGTATTTTATGTGTTTATCTGTGTAACTGTCTATGCATCACTAGTCTGCCTTCTATAAAAATTGACACTTTATGGGAGGAGAGAGAGATTGAATAATCTTATACTGAAGAAGAAACAAGAAGAAATAGGCACACAAAGTTTTCAGTTTTTTAAAGCTGCACTTGCTTTGTAGATAAGCAAGAGGTGGGGAGAATAGATCAAGATAGAATTCTAAGTTCAAATATTTCAAGCCATGGTAAAGCAGATCAGGATTTGAAAGTATATTCAACCAAGAATAAAAACATAGTTTGTTATGTCGAGGAAAGTTAGATACCATACAAACCACAATTAGGCAAAAGACATCCTGAAAGGGTTGAATTAATATATGTTAGAGATGGACTTGGATACGAACAGTGGTGGAGCTAAAACTGAATTCATGTAAGAAGGGTTTATTTGATTTACTGTGCTTTTTTTACCCTCCTGGCTCACTGATACAATCTTGGATCATTACTAAGCTATTGAGATAGTTTTCATGTTCTATTTTTCTCTACATATGTAATATTGAAAGTACATGGTTGAAAAAGCTAAGAATACCAGGAATACTTGCAAAACTAAAACTATGACCAACATTGATGGCTACTGTTCTGCATCTTATGTCCACCCTGAGGAACAAAACCAATACTTTCCACTTGATGGGTAACATTGTCTTACCAACTTCACTATTTCCAGAGGGAATTTTCATTCGAAATTCAGAAGTTTGCCTTTTTGGCATGTCTATGCACTAAGAAGTTTATTCTATGAATAGCACTACCATTGAGACCTGAAGATCATGAGTTAAACATAAGAAAGAAATTTCCAAAGTTGGTAGAAAAGGGGAAAAAAGCAACTAAACAATGGCCATAAATTCTGAGTTGAAGAAGAAAAATAAAAGGGATGAAATGGAATATCCTGAAAAAAATAACCAGGTACCAACTTGTTTGAAAACACTATATTACAACATTTTGTAGTAGATTCTGTTCTGTAATAATGAAAAAACAAGAATAGTTCTGTTTCACATATTAAAGAGCCTTTCATCCCAAAATATCTGAGTCCCTTTTTCTGTCACACCCAGGATCCCCTTTGACTCCAATGACTGATGATATGAGTCACTGCCATTTTGAGGCAGAAAGTGCATGAAAATGTTAGTGTAAGCCACAAAATGAAGTAGTTTAAGAAAACAAGTATACAACTCTACAACTTTCCCCAAAGCCATGAAAAAAATATGTTTCCAGCATTACAGTCCTACACAGAATATCTACCCTCCATGGCTCTGAACTCCTTCCAAATGTTGAAGGTGGCTCTTTACTATCAAAAGATGAGGCCCATTTTTATGGGAATAACACTCAAATGTGATTATATAAAGAGGGAGAGAGGTTCGCCTAAAACCAGATCTTGAATTTATGACTGATACACTGCTGTTTGATTTTGCTTTTTTGGTTTATTTCATTTATATCCCGCCATTGGACTCTCCTATCAAGAGTCTCAGTTCTATGATCATTAAGCTCCAAACTAACTTAACTGAATGTTTTTTGCTCAGTTCTCATGAGCACTAGCAATTTAACGTTCCCTTGCTTTTTCTATATTCCATCTTTTTGATCAAATTGATCTGCTCAATTTAGTGTAGTCTAAACATATGTTAGCTTGCCAAATCTTTCTAGCCAATTTGAAATATTTTTTTATCACAATTCTTGTTTTTAATGGTTTGAAAATAGTTATGGGGAACTGTCATAAATATTTGGAATAGTTCAGTTTGAAGCACCTCTGAAGTATTATTTTAAATGGACAACATCCTTTTTCCAAGTTGGGATACTAAAAACTAAGGTGTGTTCTTTACTGTACTGCAAAAACATAGTTTTGTGGCAGTTTGTCTAAACTAATCATAAAAAAATGTGTTTCCTGAAATTAAAGACATAATCTTATAGTTTATTTATTAAATTTATATGCCATCCACTTCACTATCAAGCAAATCTGGGCAGCTTATAATGTAAATAGCAATATAAAACAACTATAAATAAATAAGATTAAAAGCATTAAAACAGGCACTAAAACTTAAAACATTTCATTTTCTGCCACCTTAAATGCACATGTGGTTTCTGTTTTAGCAAGCTACCTTTAGCTCAAAATTTATTTTGGTACTAGTTAGGCATAAGAAGTAATTTATAAATAATTTATTTTGTTAGTATCTTGATTCATAATATCTTCTCATGCATTCTAATAGTGAAGAAAAAAAATATCCAACTATAAAGTACTGTCATGTTTCCATACTAATAAGGAACATTAAAAACCTGATCCTAGAAATGAGAAATATTTTTTCTTGGTCCACAGTTCAAAATACATGCAAATAATTTTCTTTCTGATGATCTTCATACAGCTTATTTCTGAAATGGAAAACATTTCTCTCACTTGTGAATTTTCTTTCAGATATCCTGGATCAAGGACTTGTCCTATAAAAGGGACTTCCTGTCTGTCTTCAAGTAGATCAAAATGTTTACTGGATGCAGGTCTATCCTATGAAAGGACCACTGCTTTTTTCACAGATATAGTATTTGTAAATTAGCTAACAGACTGTTTCAAGGTAGAACCTCTAAATGGAAGGGGAAGACATTTTCATAAGAAGATACCTCACAGTTTAAATATAGGTTTTATGACTTCTACCTACATAGCCTGGATCTGTTTATATTTTTCAAGGGCTAAACATTTCAAAGGTTTTTCAGTGTCCATCAAATTCTTTGAATAAAGTTTGATTGGACTCAAGTAACACAGATGTAACAAGGGATTGCCTTGTATGTACATGTAGTTTATGTGGTATATAATATAAAAACTTTTTTTTCTTTTGAATGAAAGAACCTGCGATTAAATTTTGCCAAAAACAATTTCTGTATTTGTATGCAATCTTAAAAGTGACCATTCACTGATCAATTCTGTCTTCACTTTTGGAATGATGTTGTTTCTTTTTTTATTTAGTCTAATGCAGTCTTAACAGTTTTGCTAATCAGAGGTTGCAGGAACTAATAACTCGTCTATATTTTCCATCACATTTGCTTTTTCTTTCTGGCATCTTGGATTCTCCTATGCTACTCAGTGCTAAACATGACATCATGAAAATTTGAACATGCATCATCTGCAATGAAGCATGCAGGCAGGAAATGAATAGAGTTATAGTAGTATAATAGTAGTTTGAGAATGACCTTAGTACTCATCTAGGATACAGGTGACAGTGTAAGCTGTTCATTGTGATTCCTCAATAGTGTTGCTAGTAAAATGTAAGTAGGATCATTTTAGTAATTGGACAAAAACCAGCCAAAGGAGGACATTTGCTGAGGGTTGGAGCTAGCTGAAGTATTGAACTTAAGAAGGAAGTCGTTGGAATTATTTTTTATAAAAAATATTAGGAGTGGGTCAGTGGGATTAAGGTGGTTTTCTGATGGCCCTACAAGAGTCAGAAATGCAATTGTGGAGTAAGGAGAATAAAAGGTTACTGTTTTTTGAAGCTTTCCTCAACCTCAGCTGAGAAGTCTAGAAAAATATCACTGGAGGGTTTGGCAAAAAATTGAAAATTTGTGGGACAGAGCATTATAGTTCTGTTTTAGATAATCATGGAAGTTCTAAAAGAGATGGTAGAAAATCTTCTCTACCTCTTCCTTCTTGACTTATTTGAGATGGCAGAGTTGACTGCATGCCATTCGGGAGTTTAAATAATGTGTGTAAAAATGTGGTCCCTTCCAAGATTTTGAGTAATTGCGGCTTAAACAATATTTTTTTTACAGTAGACATCGGGCTAGTTTGATATGTCTCCACAATGGCTGGGACTGAAAATTGTTTGATTACTCAACCAGAATAACAGTACATTTCTCCTGTAATATCCCAAAGCATAAAACATCCGTTGAATTATATGGAGGCAATTCATTTATGTTACTTTAATTAATATAGTATATACAATTCCTCAAGTCAAATAGTAAAAAACAGAATAAATTATCCTTTAGAGAATTTTTTTCATACATAGTAATGTATGAAATTACTGTAAGTAATGTTCTTCAAGGTTATCTTCTATTTTAATATACTCAGAATGCCTGGCTTATGAAATATTGCTTTTTTATTTTTACTTTTTTTTTTTGGACATTCAGTGTTTGTTCCTCAGCAGATGGTTGGACTAAAAAATTAAGATCCCTTCCAACTTTGATTCCATGATTTTGGTATTTAATGTATTTTGGAGATTAGTTCTGCAAATGTATTCTGTACCATAAGGATTTGTGGCCAAATTCTCTCTTTCAATTGCATTGTTTTACGCATAGTTTGAAATTCTGCTTTTCTATTTATCTTTTCTGTATTTTTCTGTAATCCGCCTCGAGTTGCCCTATTGGTGAGATGGGCAACATATAAATAAGTAAATAAATAAATTTCACTTGGAATGATAGTTTCATGGTGGTTTTAACCTATCCATCTAAAGAATGAATGAAGCATTTGAAGATAGGAATACACAGCCAATATCCCTGATTAAAAGCTAATCATTTATTAGAATGAGTGATGGGTTTTTGAAGTTCTAGTGATGAAAAAAAAATCAGTGTTTCCTGATTTGCAAAAAGTTGAAGGCATTTGGGCCCAGTACAGACAAGTAAAAAAGAAGCTTTTCTGAAGATGAGCTAGAGGCATAAAGAACTTTTACAGCCTGCACAATGCATGTTCATTTTTTCTGACCGTTATGGGCTCCATGAAACTAGTTTTCTGGGCTTCTCTGCTTCAAGCTATAACTGGGGAAGGTCGCAGTTATCTTGCATGACAAGTTATGCTGCAAAGCTCATCTGTGTTCTGGAGTGACTCTTGCAAGAAACAATTGACCAGGAATGTCGTTATTTTTTGTACAATTTCAGATTAGTTTTGGAGATTTTATAAACTTACATGTAAGAAAAAACATGTACTTATGTAGTCCTCTCAAATTGGGAGGCAGGGATGGCTATCCAGAACTATTTTTGCCCTCCCAACAGTGGGTATTCCCTAGCTAATTAGTTTTTCCAGTAATAGAATTCAGTTACTATTGACTGTTAATAATATTAACTGTGACTAAATACCACTGAAAGGATTTGATTGCAAAGAATTTAACACAATTTACCAATCCTACAATTTAGTAAATTGCAACCACATTGGGGGAATCAACATTAAGATAAGTCTCAGATAAGTCTCTGTGATCCTCAGTTTTACTTCAGGAATGGACAGTTTTCTTTTTTGGAGGTATTCCATAAAGCTTTGCATACTATGTCAAAGACCGAATTCCAAAATTGGGTGGAGTGAGGAACTGTTTTAGTGCTTTGAAGAAGCTCAGACTTTTAAAAGCATTTAGTTTAAGCCCTTAATAACCTACCCACAGTTGGGGCGGGGGGAGCCAAAAGGTTAAATTATTTAACTACATGCTCACTCACTCATGGGAGGCTCCAATAATACAATAATCATGTTGGCATCTGTAACTTACAAGTTTTTAGAATACTTTTTATGTCTAAAGCAATCTGGAATAGGAACTGAATGGGGTAGAAGTCTTTATAAGCAAGTAATTAAAATTGAACAAATTCCTGTAGTGTAAAGCAGCTTCTAGAATTCTAGCTAGCACAAGAGACTGAGAATTCTGGGAATTGATTTCCACATAAGGAAGGTGAAGGAGTCTCCAGTGCTCCAATATATAAGGCTCACATCAAAACCCTTATCTGCACTTGTCTCAAAACCAGAGGTGTGTTTTTGCTTCCCACAAAGCAGGTGGAAGTTTTATAATAGGATGCATAACTGGTTTGAGAATGTATTCGTCATGAGTGAGGAAGTGTGGAAGAAAAGTTGTTAAAACCTGGCTTCTAGTGTTAAGGTACATAGGCCTGTGTTCACGATTTATTTTAAATAGTATAAAGTATATTCTGTGTAATTAATCCGGAAGCATATTAAATAACTTTCTTGCCTCCACTCCAATCTAGGACAAGCTTGCCCTCTCCAATGTTTTCAAGAAATGACTTCAGTATTTGGAGTATCTTGAGAAAGTGCATTGGAATGGTAGGTAAATATGATTTTTAACAGAGCCTTATTATACTAACAAATTTGTATTGTTTATGGTTTCATTATGTTTTAATCACAGCATTTCTGAAATAAATTATTGTGTATTTTTTATCCCTATAGAATGCATTAAAGAGTGCTTCTAGTCCATTCCATCACATTGTCAAATCCTTTTTGTCCATTTATTTACTCATTTATAAAATCTCCAGTGTTTTATTTTCAGCCCACTTAAACTTAGGAAAACTAATTGGCAGTGTAAAGAGATATAAGGAGAGAAGAATTATTCAGAAAGTTAATATACTTACTAGGCGTTGTAGTGTTTTCCTACAAACATGGAGTGAGAGTACAGTCTTTCAATATACTTTCTTCCATTTTCCATTAGCTTCAGGCAAGATCACTGAGAAACTGTAGATTTGTACTGCCAGCCAGGAAGTTGTTTGAATATATTAAATATCCTACATGCATGTTAATAGAAGAATATTTTGGATTTTTTTTTTTAAAAAAAGGTATATAGTGCCTGTTAAGTGAAATCACCTAGTCAGTATTGATTCTTTGCACTAATAACATATTAAAGATAAATATTTGCTCAAGTAGTTGTTAGACACTGTAAAGCAGAGACTAATAAGGGCTTGATCTTTCCATTCTTATGTAACTTTGGTTTTACAATAGTATAGTGTATATATTAACTTGCCTTCATGCTATACATAGTTTTTCTCTTATCCATTTTATCATTTCAACAACCCTGTGAAAGAGATCAGATTGTGAGTACAGTGGTCCAAAATCACAATCTTCAGATTCAGTATGGATATACAATTCTTTTATCTAGACTTGAATATGATACTCATTAGGCCATATTGGCTGTTCTTTAAGTTAGTAGTATAAATTTATATCTAGGTTTATGTTTACTTCTTTTGCTAATAATCTAACTTTGTTTTTATGGTAAACCAAAACTATTCTGGGATAAGTTATATAAACCTTCACACACACTTTGTAATATTGCTTTTAAATTTCTTCTAGGAGCTGTCCAAGATCACTATGCCAGTAATTTTTAATGAGCCCCTGAGTTTCCTACAGCGACTGACAGAATACATGGAGCATACATACTTAATTCATAAAGCCGGCTTGCTTCCTGACCCAGTTGAAAGAATGAAGGTACTTCTATCTCAAGAGTTGGAAAACAATTGGGTTGTTTATTTCTAGAAAACCTTATGAATTTAAGTGAAGGTTATTTGAAGAAATAAATTATAATTAGATCTTTCTTTACAGTGATATTATAAAAGTGAAGCTACTGAATGTCTGACCTGCAATTTAGCTTTAAGCAGGTTTGTTTATCTTCTTAAAAAGTAATGGTGATAATTTAATCTCCCTTTTTAACATTTTAAATGTTTCTCACTACCTTTTTCATATGAGAAGAGAACCAGAACGTGTCTGTATAGTCATTAGAAGCTGAACATGAGTCAAATGAGACGGATTTGACTTCATGAGAATGAATGCTCCAAAAGCTGCAGATTAAATAAGATTTTTCTAGTGAAAGTCAATAGAAATAAGTTATAAAATTGCTTTTTCAACAGTGTGTAGCTGCTTTTGCTGTCTCAGCTGTAGCCTCTCAGTGGGAACGTACAGGAAAGCCATTCAATCCATTACTTGGAGAGACATATGAACTTGTCAGGTAATAAATGCATGATTAAACTTTTCCGGGTATTCTTTCTTGGGCATGAAGTGGAAAGACAAAATTAGCCCGCTGTGGTTTATGCAGTATTAAAAGTATTGATTCCGTACTTAGTAGCTAGATTAGTTAAAGTCTTCATTTGAGAATTATCTTTTGTGTTTTTTCTGTGTAGTTCAGTACTATTGGTATATTAAGAAAACATAACTTGCCCTCAAATATTCCAGTAATAATTAAAATTTTGATTTTTTTTGTGTGATAAAAATTGATATGGAAATGTTTGTGTTTACCCCATTTTGTAGTTAAACATTGCTAATTATCACTTTATTTTCCTGCATAGAGAGGATCTTGGATTCAGACTCATTTCGGAACAAGTTAGTCATCATCCACCAATCAGTGCTTTTTATGCTGAAGGACTGAATAATGACTTCATATTTCATGGTTCCATATATCCTAAACTCAAGTTTTGGGGAAAGAGTGTTGAAGCAGAACCAAAGGGAATAATAACTCTAAAGCTTCTTGAGTAAGTTGGTCAGTATTAATCTTGGACTAGATTAGAAATTGCAAGCAATGCAGACATAGAATGAATGGAATTTAATCCATTGTGTGAACACAAATAATAGTAAAGTATATATGACTGTTTTACTAAAATCGCTTTTATGTGACTTATAATAAATTGACCTTAATAATCTATATTTGACAAGCAGGAAACTACATACAGTAACATATGTAGCTTGAAAATAACTGAACTATTCTGAAATGGCCATGTTTTTAGGAATTCATATTATTATATTAATAAAACAATCTTCTATCAGTGGATCTTTTTTTTCCTGGATTATCTGTGGTGTGGAAAATAAAAAACAAACATTTGTGTGTGATTGATAGTATCACATTTGCTGTTATATTGATAATGGGAAAGAATAATATCTTGATTTGTGCACTTTGTAAGACCATATGGTCATTTTAAAAGCCTTGTATGAATCTTAATTAGTTTTATTATTTTCCTTTTCAGACACAATGAGGCATATACATGGACGAATCCTACATGCTGTGTACATAATATTATTGTGGGCAAACTTTGGATTGAGCAATATGGAAATATGGAAATAACCAATCACAAGTAAGTTGGAAATTTACTATTTGGTTTGAAAATTAAATTTGCTTCATATTAAACATTAATAGAACAACTACTTTAATTTCAAGGCAACAATAAACAACAAGTAATGTTGTCACTGTAAAGAAATAGTAACCACTAGTAGATTAGAAAACCAGTATCCATGCTGAACATCAAAGTAGTTTTTTTTAAGTTCCATTAGCAGTACACTTCAAGGATAATGTATATATTTAAGCGGTTTAATATTTCTTTCATAGAACTGGTGAAAAATGCATGCTAAACTTCAAGCCCTGTGGCCTTTTTGGAAAAGAACTACACAAAGTTGAAGGCTATATTCAAGATAAAAGGTAAATAAAACCATGTATTACTAAAATATGTGGGGAGAAATATTTCAGGGATGTAAATATTTTGATAATGTGGTTCAAATACAGTATTGATAACATTCTGTAGAGTCTGCTTTGTGTAACTTTGGTACAAAATAGGAACTTAGCTAATCCAAAACAGTCATATTTCTAAAATGAATTGTTTTTGGGTGGTTTGACAGCAAAAAGAAACTGTGTGCACTCTATGGAAAATGGACTGAGTGTTTGTACAGTGTCGATCTTGCTACATTTGAAGCTTACAAAAAGAATGACAAGAAAAACACAGAAGAGAAGAAAAACAATAAACAGGTATTAATAATACTAAAAATAGAGTATCAACCATAATTTCTCTTTAAATATTGAAAGAATAAGTATTCTGTTCTGAAATAACTGTTGGAAGATATGTACGATTTTGAAAATTATTCCATAAACTCCATACTTTCTCAAAGAGTTCCAGATATGTTAAGTTTTCTTTTCTGGGATTCCAATGACTTATCACATACTGTAGGCCAATTCAGATAACCACTAGAGATTTCATTACCATGGTTTCCTCTCATCTCACTTGTGAACCAACATCAGACTACTTTCCACTTTTGATATACTGTAAAATCTATATCATACTAGTTTGGAACTCCTCATGAAAGCCAGCAAATTTGGTGCCAATATTGTAATTAATGGGTGAATGGATGGCTTTTTGACATAGTAGCCAGGAAGAAAACTTTTGAGCAATAGAGTAAAATCTTGTAAACAAATTAGATTAGAAGATTGATAGATGATAGACAGAAGCACACACGCACATGGAACTTGGCTTACATTTTTTCTATTAAATTATTCCGATAAAATTAAAATAAAAACTGAAGACAAAAACAGAAAACAGGTAAGAGGAATGCTAGCATTCACATTAATAAACTTCAGATAGTCATTCAAACTAGTGGCTTGAATGGCTTGCTTAATACCTAGTAAGTATAAATTTAGAAACCTTTGGAAATATTTCAAAATAGGCAATGGCCTTATTTCCATTACATTTGTGATGTTATTTGCTTTGACCATAGATTAATTATTGCAAGATAGGTTATCATTAAAAGTTGTGAATTTCTTTTTTTCTTTGTTCTTTTTTAAGATAGGGGATTGTAGTACTCTTAAATGTCCCAGATTATGTCTGCTATGGGGTTCATCAAATAATGCAGAAAAAAGCCAATTTGGTCTAGTGGTTAAGGCACTGGGCTGTAAAGCAGAGACTGAGTTCAAATCCCACCTTGGCCATGAAAGCCAATTGGACAACCTTCGACTCTCTCAACCCAATTCTAGTCACCAGGTGGTTGTGAGGGAAATAGGAGAAAGATGTTGTGTTGGATATGTTCACTATCTGGAGTTATTTGTAAAAATAATAAACACAGGATATAAATAAATAAAAGACCTCAAGCATTTAGATTATGACATTATTCAAAGTACATTTAAAATAAAGGTAATTTTTATTTACCAAGGTAATCCAGCCAAAAGCTGATTAACTCTTTTTGATTTCAATGGTTTCACTTTTGGATGATTATGTTTTCAGTCAAATTGGGTATTTACTTATGTCCATTTAGAATGTCTTCATTTTAAATGCTGCTTTACTTGGTAGCTGTATCATCAGTCATATATTAATGATATTCTAAATACAAAAAGACTATAAAATTTTCTGTTGATTCCAGGGGAATAAGGACATACTATGCTTTTCTTCTTACATACTTTGACAAATATGGTTAAATAAAAACTTGCTAGTTTCAGAGCAAAATACCCACAATAAGAGCATTGACTTGGTCCTGAAGTACTATATAGTCAGAAAAGATACGGAATATCACAGCTCAATCTATGGGAGAGATTTAAAGTTGAAGTTCTTTTAGAAATTGTTGAAGTGTTCTAGTTTCATCGCCCACTACAAAGGCTTAAATGTACCATAACTTGACTCTATAAATTATAACTGAGGGAGTTTAAATTTGCATATTCCATATACATGAAGTATGATAAATGAGGTTTGTTTGTTTCATGGAGACTATAAAAATTATATATTCAAAATGTTTAGGTACATACAGGCATTTTATATATTTGGGTCATGGCTTTTATAATAAAATTTCATGTTTGAAATTCTTAGTTGCAATAATTTGCCATGGGAATTGGCTGTTTGAGTAAGCGTTGTCTAATGATGTACATGACTTTTTATGGAAGAGTAATTGCAAAAAGATATCTCTTCTATAAGCTATATGACACCAAAATTTTCACCACATTACATAAAGGTCCATGAACAAAAGAAGTAACCAAAGTACTTGGAATTTGAAGCAGAGATGTTTGTTTAGTAATATTTTCATAGAGCCAAGTACTATTCTAAATTATTTATAAATATGGCTCTGCTATCTGAAAAAGTAAAAAGCCAGTACCAGCACATATTAAATTTAATTGAAGCAAAGGCGTTTTAAGCTGTTTCTTAAAACCTGGGAGGAACTGAACACTTCAAAAACAAATAAAGCAGGACAGGTATTTCTAGTTTGGGACCTGCAGAACAAAAAGGTTTAAAAAGCAAGAAAGAATTGAGAAACAAAAAATGCAAGTAGAAGAGTGTGGCAAAACACTTGCTGAAATTTACAAACATGCGTTGGTTATTCTCAATTACATTATATCAGATTAGGCAAGTATATCCCACTAGCATTTTGCAGTGCTTTTGTTTTGGGGAATGTTCACCTTGGAATTAGAGCATACCCACTGTCTAATTATCTAATGAAGGGGTCAGTCACAGTCTTCATATACTCTTGATTTCTGAATTGACTGCCAAGGAGGGGCTTATCTTTCTCTGGCTTCTTCAGAAGCTAGTTGAGGGCCAATCAATTGCCTTTTTCTGCTGGCCGTAGGAAGGACGGTGTTAGTCCTGCTTAATGAAAAAGGACCCTTTTCTTCTCTGCTAACTTGTTTGCTTTTTTGTGCATTTGCCAGTAGAGGCAAAGCAAATAATTCAATACTGCAGCCAACCAGTGAAATACTCTAAACTTGGACATGCCTCCTCAGAGGGAAAGAGAGATCTTCTCATCAAATCTTCAGAATTATTCATTTTTATTATCCATTTGCCTTAAAGGTTGGTTTGTCATTGTAAAGATGGTATCAGTAAAAAAATTAAGACATTCTAGATGTTCTTTTAGCAGTTATTTGTATAGTTGTATAGAAGCGTAGTGGCCTAGCAGTTAAGGTGCTGGGCTTGTCAATCAGAAAGTTGGCAGTTAGAGACCCAAGCATCATGTGACAGGGTGAAGCTCCCATTCTTGCTGTAGTTTCTGCCAACCTAGTAATTCAAAAGCATGCAAATGCAAAGTAGATAAAAACATACCACATCAGTGGGAAGGTAACAGTATAATCATGCCAGCCACATGAGCACAAAAGCATCATTGGACAATGCTAGTTTCCTTGGCTAGGAAGCCGAGATGAGCACCAATCCTTAGAATCAGACACAACTGGACACGGGAAACCTTTTTATATAGTTGTATATAGAGCTGCATTATGTTTACAGAGCTGCACTAAAATGTTATTTCTGGATGTAATGTGCTGATTTTCACACTACATTGTAGACAGGCAATTCTGATGAGCCGGATGAGATGCCCTTGCCAGAATGTGAGAGTATGTGTGTGATCCCTGGAAGTGTGTTGTTATGGAAAATAGCTCCAAGGCCTTCAAACTCGACAGAGGTGAGAGAAGCCTTGAATTCAATAGTATACATCAGTGTTTTTCAACCTTAGCCAGTTTATATGTGGACTTCTTCCAGAATTCCCCAGTCAACAAACTGGGGAATTTTGGAAGATGAAGTCCAAACCACTTAAATTGCCACGGTCGAGAAACATTTGTCTATATTTTTGTCAGTCTTGCTGTTGGAAATTACACAGTGAAGAAAGTGGAAAAAAGTGAACTCTTTACCTAAACATAATTAGTTTATTTCATGGGAGCAGTTACTAGTAGAATTGCGTTAGTAGCCTTCTTGTCTGAAGATTATCACTTGAATTATTTTTCTTTCCTCTTAATATTAGTTAGGATTATACTTTTTTAACGTTGAGAGTTGAAACAGCAGTATATGCAGGAAAGCCCATTCTTCATTTGTGAGAAGTCGTCCAGGGGTTACCTTTGAACCTTATTGTTAGAGCTGCCAAAATTGTGTTGCCAAATTCCAAAGTGAAAACTCTGAAGATGCAGTTTTCCTGGAAGATAAATAAAATTGGGTGTTAGAGGGGAATATATTTTGTTTGGGCTCTAATGCATACAAAAAACTTTCTCAAAATTGAAAACAATTAAAATCCTACCCACTTTTTCTTTAAAGAGAACACCCCCTTCCTGCTACCACTTTCTGATTCGTCTAATTTGTCCTTTTCTGTGGTTAACGTGCCTCTTCAATAACTTTGATTTTATTTGCATATTTTGCATATATAGAAATAGAGAGTCAACTTGGTTTAGTGGTTAAGGCACCAGGCTAGAAAGCCACAGACCATGAGTTCAAGTCCCACCTTAGCCATGAAAGCCAGCTGGGTAACCTTGGGCTGGTCATTTTCAGCCCAATTCACCTCACAGGGTTGTTGTTGAGGGGAAAATAAGAGGAGGAAGATACGTTGGTTACGTTTGCCACCTTGAGTTATTTGTAAAAATAATAAAGGTGGAATATAAACAAGCCCAGAGTTCCGCAACCTTTCCAGCTTTGGAGACCAGCGGGGAGAGGAAAAGAGGATGGTTCTGCCCAAGCAGCTAGCAAGCATGCACCCAGCTCCGTTTGTGGGACTGGAGGGAACACGCACCCCCCATTCATGCAAATGGAGCACATGCTTGCTCACTGCTCACACAAGTGGAGATTTGCATGTGTGCATGTTCGCCCACTGCTTCTGCAGCCTGGCTCCAAATGGCTCATGGCCCGGTAGTGGGCCAAGGTCCAGGGGTTGGGGGTCCCTGTTCTAGCCCACTTTAATGTAATGAATATAGAAAAAGGTCCTGAACTGATTCCTCAACTATTTGATTGGACACTTTCTTTACAGGCTGCAAACATATTAACAACTAATATTTCTTTATAAATGGAACATTCTAAAGCTATTTATTTTATTTGTAGATGTACAACTTTACCACCTTTGCTATGATGTTGAATGAATTGGATCAGGAAATGGAAAGTGTTATTCCTAAAACTGACTGCAGGCTAAGGCCAGATGTAAGAGCTATGGAAAATGGTGAAATAGGTAACTCAATAGTCTGGGTTTAAAGTTTCTTGACATAAGAATGTTGAAATATTTAAGTCTATTGTGGCAATCATGTTTTACAGAGCAACTTGTTGATACAATGGTGAATAAAAAAGTAATGCAATAAGAGTGAGCTTTGGAACACAAGGCTCTTCTTTTCAAATAATTGAAACAGTCACATCTTTTTGAATTCACACAGCTGCTCCTTGCTGTTTTTCCATATGTGCATTTGACAGAAGAAACTGGAAACAACTTCTGAAGTAGCTGCATAAACCTGGAAAAAGACACAACTGCTTTAATTATTTTTTTACATGCTTCTACAATTTCCCTGCAAAGAATTTGCAGTCATCCTATCTCTAGTTTTTATTAGGAAATACCTGAAGCCTTGTTTAAGAATATTTGCATTGGATCTCTCCAGGCCAGAATCAAGAAGGCAGCTTGTTTGTGTTTTTTCATATATAAACGATAAAGTATTGCCTATTTGGGGGAAATTTAGCTCAGTATTTCTCAAACTTTGCAATTTTAAGAATGAGTTCAACTTTTGGGTCAGGGTGCAAGTTTGAGAAACATTGCACGAGCTTGCCTTTCTCATGAAAACAGAAAAACTGATATTTTTTTTTATTGGGGATTGTTTGGTTTTTTGGTACCAATAATGCTGTTAAAATTATTGCTTTTATATAAACAAAATGCATATTGTACAAAATATTGTAAATGAATAAAGGAAAAAAGCTGTTATTTAATCTTGAAAAGAGGAGTACATACCAAATATTTCAAATTAGCCAACCCATTTATTTGGAGCATGGAAGATAAAAAGGTTAATTTATTGTTGAACTATCTGCTACATAATAAAGTTTGTGAAAATATGCAGAAATCTTATATAAATTATACTAATCAAAATTATGAATTATTACTGAATTTATACATTGTTATCACTCAAGTATTACTCTAGTGTATTATAATTGATACATCCTGTTCTCCCCCCTTTTTAAAAACTTTTGGCAGATGTAGCCAGTGAAGAAAAGAAAAGGCTTGAAGAAAAACAAAGAGCTGCTCGTAAAAATAGGTCCAAGTCAGAGGAAGACTGGAAGACAAGGTTAGTAAACAGAGAAGAGTTATGTTTATGATAAGATAATGGACAAATTGCTTTGAACTTAGCCTCTTGCCTGCATATTCTTAATATTACCATTGTTTAATATTACCATTAAAAGATGCATTGCTTGTGAGGTGCTGTGCTCTTTGGAATTATCATTCTAAACAATGGCAATACTCACCTTCTTGTGGTATCTTAAACATTGTGCAACAATAGCTGGTCAATAGTCTGTTCCTTTGATCCAGAGCTTCTTGATATAGTAACTCTTGCTTCACGTAAAGCTTTTAAAAGGTTTAGATTTAGCATTACCTTCTGGTTTTTCAGGAAAAGAATTAACTTTTTGGTTAGCAATACGCAATCACTTATTATAGTGAAATTACTCAAGAACTTACGGAAATATTATAAACCCTGAATTTATTGGAACTCGGGTAAATGGATTTCAGATTCAGTGGAGAAAAGTTTGAATTTCATTGCTATTTATCAGAAAATCACTCTTATTTAATTGTGAAGGCCACTAAATAAGATTGAGTTTGGACAGTTGGTGTGATTATGTAATTGTACACAATCATACGAATTAAAATTTGGACTTTATAATTGATTTGTGGTTATGGGGGTAACAAGACTATCTGCTTAAATAATGTACTGCTTAAAATAACAAATTTGGCTACCCCTTTAAGAGCTTTCTCTTGGGAAACTTATCTTACTCTGCATTCAATCCATGATATATTTGGAAGGGGCACTTCTGAATCTCTCTAGTAATGCTCTTTAGGTTAAAACATTATATTTAAGCATCTGAAGTACAGGTAGTCTGAATTGGGCAACCGCAGTTGAGATCAGCAGTTCTATTGTTAAGTGAAACAATCACTAAATGGGATATTAAGCGACCAGACGATGCTTTTCTTTCCCCCATTACCCTGCCCTTTGAATACTCACCCCAGAAATACTGGTTCAAAACTTTAACAAGATTAATTAGTTTTCCACTTTTGTCTTTGTCTTTTGTATGTCTCCTAATCCACTCCCTTCACTGGGACAATTAGCAAGAATTAGCAAGAAGAGAATTAATGTGATTGCATTAGCATTCATTGGAAAGGAAGAGATTACAAGCAGGCAAACATTACACATTGATGTGGTAGAGTTGACAGGCATCAGCACACTTAGCAAACAGCCCAGTGCATTCCCCATTGTGTGCCTGCTTACTCTCTTGTAATACCTTCCTCTCCATTCCTTCCACTCCTCTTTGCAAGGAGAGGTAGAAAAGCAACTGTCAATCACAGGACAAGGTGTATTGACTGTAATGGTGATCACTTGACTGAGGATGCAGCAAGGGACATAAATATGACCTTTGGCCATAAAATTATTTTTTCATCACTTTTGTAACTTCGAGCAGTTGCTGAATGAGGCAGTCTTTAAGCAAGGACTATCTGTACATTTTTCACTAGAAAGGTACAATATTAATAGCTTAAGGTTTCTTTTAAAAAATTCATAGTTACGCAATTACCACCATTTGCTCATGCCTTTGCTCTAATATTGCTGTTATGGATAAAGTAGATTATAAAATATTTCAGTCAGGTTGCATTTTTATTCAGATCTAGTTTGGGGGTTGTTACCAGATTGGTAGCTCTTAAGTGTTTCCTCGGTGCAATAGGGAATAGAAAGTGTTGCAAAATAGTAATCTTCTGAATCTTCTGCAGAATTCTAGGAGGATCACATAATGTTTAAAATCAGAAACTGAAATCTCTTTCTGCAGAGAAGTTATAAGGATAAAACCATAGAGTGATATTGTAAACCCCCATGTATGAAATATATTGATCCATATAAAATAAGAAAAAACAATATATTTATAGGGAACCAAAGAGGGGCCCGTTGATCTTTTTTCAAATACTTTCCTATGCTCCATTTTTTAAGCGGCTTCAATTTGGACTTGGAAGTGGTATTGTTTTTCCTTCAATCCTTTCAGCAGCCTTTTAACTGCTTGCAGATAGTGCTGACGTAACAGGATAATCCTGGCTGGGATGAATAGTTTTAACTGCAAAACAACTGAAAGAAACATCATGTGGAAAAGATGCCTTTTTAGCATTTCAGTGCCATGCTTAGCACTCAACATTTATTTTGGAATTAGTTTGCTTCCTTTGCCTTTACAGTGGAAGATGTTCTTAGTTTTTACTTTGGTGAAGAGAAGCATTCATCATGATTTTTTTAAAATGTGGCCTTTGTGCTACTCTTAGTACTGCATGATATAATTCAGGTTTGGACACAAGTTCATCGTGATTACAATAAATCAGGAGGCGACTAAAACAATGATTCATTGTTGATTTCCACAAAAACATGACTACTTTGATTGTGCTGTGGGTTTCTCTTGTCATCTCCAACAAAGGGCCAAGCATTCTAAAGTGGGCTGGAAGGCTGGAATCAAGGTTCACGCCCTCATCTGCCAAGAAATTTAATGGCCTTATCATTTTAAGGTTTCCAAAAGCCCTGCTTATTCCAGTGCAAACCTATTCCTTAATATGTATATTTATACGAACTTCTTTGTATTAAATAAACTCCAAACTTTAGAGTCACGGTGTATGAAATGGGTGGCCATATTAATTTATTTAATAAGTAAATAAATATATCTTATTCATTATTATGAATTGCAGAGTTGTGACTTCTAAAAGGTGTTTTCTTAGGGTATTTCTTAATCCTTCATAATGCTGCAGAGCATATCTGTTTACAGATGTTATACAAGGATGTTGGAAATAGCCTGGGAGATTAGCCTCTTCTTTCAGCCCGTAATATGTTATGCTGGGTATGTTACATGCAATGCTGCTGTTTGGAGCAAACAGTCTCTAGCTTGAACATGAAAAATAGGCTTGCTGAAGCAGCGTGTTACAACCACCACAGTGTTATTGACATTGGTGCTTCAGTTCCCCTGGCACCAAGAAGAAGCCTATAGGCACATTTGCAGGTCTTTTAACCTTCAAAGTTTAAATAGGCTTATCCAGAAATAAGGTAGGAATCTAAATTTCTCTTTCAGGAGCCTCAAGTGAGGATTTGGATAGAGTTGCTGAATGCATGGCTTCTTTTTATTTTCTAGTATATGGGGTAGACCAGGGCTGTCAAACTCGATTTCCTTGAGGGCCACACCAGGATTGTTTGACCTAGTGGGACCGAGTGGGCATGGCTGGGGTGGGTGTGGCCAGCTCGACATCAGTGTCAGGGGCACCTGTGGTGGCCCGAGCACTCTGCCAGTGAAAACTGAGCTTGGGAAGGCTGTGCGTGGCCCTTGCAAGCTGTTTTCAGCCTCAAGAAGCTCCTAAAACCCCCTGCCAGCAAAAACAGAGCTTGGGAGGGCCAGATGTGGCCCTGGCTCCGTTTTCGCTGGAAGAGGGACTATGGGCCGGTCCTTCACTGTTTCCAAGGTGGCCCCGCAGACCAGATCTAAGCACTTCGAGTTTGACATTCTTGGGGTGGACTGATTTATAAATTAGCAATTTATTATAGACAGTCTTGAACATTTTTTTTGCCTCTGTATGTTTTTCTATTTCTATGTCAGAACCTAATTTCAATTTAATAGCTTTATGTGCCTTTCTGACTTGGCCTTCATATTTAAAAAAGTTGCCATATTAAAAGGTTGGCATGAATTTCTCTCAACAGGCTGTACTCTTAGCTGTTTATTAATACTTTGTTAAATTCAGTGTGTTATGTTTTGATCTTGTGTATTATGTATTATGTTTTGCCAACCAGTGGCCCAGACTCTCTTCTAATATTATTTTGTTATTATGCTGACATGTTTGGATTTTCATTGAAGACTTAAGATTATAACAAGTGATACCATGAGTATTAATAAAGTTCCTTTTATCTAATTTATTTGTTTCCCATTCAGCTGAGATTATCGTGAAGTTTTTTTTTTCTTTGCTGATCAACTAGTCCTCCTACTGTTTCTTCCAAGGATTATCTTTGTTGTCCTATCAGGTTCTCTATTTAATAATGGATGCATTTTTTTTTATTGAAACCAGATTCTGTTCTCCCAATGTGAGAAGAAACTCGCTTCTTTGGTTTTCATTGAATTACTAGCTTAAAATTATCTAGTGGACTTTTTCAGGCAGCTTCCACAACTTCTGTGGCCTCTCTTCCTAATCCGGCCTCAGAGCTGACACTTTTCCCTGCCCTACCAGCTCTTGGGGGTTAGTGTGTGGATAAAAAGGAAAAGTAAAGCCAGCACTCACAAGGGAAAGCTGCTTCCACAGCAAAGTTTTTGCCAAAATGTCCCGCTCTACCAGTTTGATAAAATACAGGTAGTTCTCATTTAGTGATTTCAGTTGGTTCTTGCAACTCAGCTATTAAGGAAAATAGTCATCAAGTGAACATGTGACTGAAAGACTGCAAAGATTTTCTCTTTCAGATTAAGTTCTCTGGTACAGCGTCCTGTGCCTAAACTATTTGGCTTTTTGTTTATTCATTATTTCCTCATAAGGCAGAGAGATTGCTTAAGCAATCTATCCCAAAGTTTCTTTTTTTAAAGAGGCAACTGGACTTTGTTTTTCAGTAGTTCCAAGAAGGCTTTATACCCATTTGCACTACTCAGGTGATCCTGAGGACAGATAAAACTCCAAGTGGCCTCAAGAACTCTCTAAAAGAATGAAAATGACCAGCTGTCTGCAAGGAATCCTCCGCACCATCCAGTCAGAGCTGAGCAGAGCCAGTCTTGGATGAGAGGCAAAATGTTTTCAAAGAAAAACAAGTCCAGTTGCCTCTTGAAAAAAGAACCTTGACCTGGATGACTGAGAATCTCCATAGACATTAAACAAGCTATCTTTTCCTGAGCTACTTTTCTTCACAGTCCAGGTTTCCAAGAAGCACTAATCCAAAGTTAACAAGCTCAGCTATGTGAATTTAATTAGTTCATTAGAACCTTCTGGCCACTGCTGTGCCTGAAATTGACACCGAAAGCTTTTGTTGTAAATGCCTGCTTTGGTTGGGATATTAATTTTATTACAGTTTATTGCTGTTGTATTTCCAATCACCTATCCAAGGCAGTTACTAGATGAGGACTAGCCCAAAGGCCTTTTATCTTTACCACAGTACACTGTACATTTGCACGTTTTCCTTAAAAGTTTCCTTTGTATTTTTCCTTTCCTTTGTTTCAACAGATCGGTAGCAATAAATAGCTCAGAAAGCCTAAGGATCAGGATGATGATTATTTACTGATTTTTCCAGTTATTGTGGGCCTATGGAAGTTTAAATTTTCTCAAAAATGAGAATATGTACCAGTTTCCTTTCCTTAAGCATTTTTTCTCTTTCAGGTGGTTTCATCAAGGTCCTAATCCTTACACTGGTGGACATGACTGGATTTACTCTGGGAACTACTGGGACAGAAACTACTTCAGTCTGCCAGATATTTATTAAAATGCATTGGAAATTCTGAGCCTAATACAAGTCTTAAATCAGTTTTCAGTGCTTTTTTTATGCCTATATTCCTAGAAAAATATTAAAATCTGACAGGTTGCAATTGAATATGGTTCTGGTGCTCCTGTCACAGCGTAGCTCAAGGCTGTTGTTGGGAGTGCTGGGGTTTTTGGCATTTTCCCTAGATTGCGAGATGTATTTGCACATAATCACTGGTGCTTTACTTGGGAGAGACAGGGAGCTACCCATATTTGCGAACTAAAGATCAGTTACAGGTTAAATGGAAAATAAAAATGCCTTTGAGTTTGATTTTCTCTTTGGTGAATAATAATTATAGCAGCATATAATGAAAAACATGGCATTTTTTCTCAACTCAGTAACAAATTAACATCCATGACTTATAATACTCTATGGCTTAAAGCATGAGAAGAGCATGACACTTCGGGGAAGAATTAGTCAACTTCCTAAAGACAGCATTCCATTAATTAATAGAATACAGGATCATAGATAATTCATTTATAATTTTATTTTTTACTCTCAGCACCAAGCTACTACTATTAATTAAAATTGGATTAATGCATAAAATCACTTAGCAATGTCTTTTCCTATTTAGTGCAGTGTTTTGAATTTTTCTTTCATGTTTTATTACCATGCTATCTTTAAGGAATTAAGAGCCATTTAAATCTTTAAAAATTTAATTTGAACTAAAGTAATTATATTTTTAAAAAAGCCTGCAGTGCACTAATATATGATGTGGGACTAGTGGTTGTCCAAATATTGTTGGACTTCAGCCCTGGTAGCATATTGAGAGGTCAAGAATGATGGGAGCTGTGGCTCAACCCGGGAAGGCCACAGAGTCCATATCCGCACACAAAGTGCTCCGCGCTACATGAGATTAAGTGGGGACATTACAATGAAAAGAAATGCACCGGGGTCTATGCTGTGATAGCAAATCCTAGAAGGAAGTGTGTACATTTCAAAAGCAGTTGAGAGACTACTGTACAGAGCAAATTTACCCCTATGTTTGGGGTGCTTTAACCTTTATGAAATTATATATTTGTACAATATGGAGTACAGAACTTCCAGAGAGACTGCTGCTCTTGTATAATTTAATTGTGGTTTGGAAATAGTGTTAACTGAATATTTTATTGCTATTAAATAAAGGCTTTCTCTGTCCTGTGACAGGTGCCGTTTGATTTTTTGTTCTCAATTGATTACAAGCAAAACCTCTTTTTGGTCTCTTGGCCCAATGTTGGAAGGATGGCATTGAGAGGGGCTCAAGCCTGCAAGGATGTTCTGGTTCCATCTGGGTTGGGGGGTTTTCCCCTCATTCTCATTCTTGAAACACTGTTTACTATTTTGCTACTTCAAAGCAGAATTGTCTCTCGTCTTACTGATAAATTATATACAAGCTTCCATAAATCTAATAAAATGGTCTGGTAACAATATATTTCTACTGAAGATGTCTGAAGTAAAAGTTACCATGTTTTTACTAAGAATCATTTTTAAATTTTCAATTTGTACAGGAAATCAACATAAGGAAACTCCTGGTTTTAGTTTTATGCCAATTGGCCACCAGTCTTAAGCAATAGGGAAAAAAATGTCTTTAGATTCAGATTCCTTGTACTGCTTTATTGGTTGTACTAGTTAATCAATTTTAAATTAAAGATGCAGCTTTCCGTTCTGGGGTGAAATGTTGGACAGCACTTCTTCTCAATCTGGGAGGAAAAAAACATTAGCTCAGTACATTTAGCAATGGCTCAACCCACTAAACCTTCATTGTGGTTTTAGATGCTTTGATCTTCTAAAACCACTGCTTTATAATCATATTTCTATTCTATCTTTTTAGCCAGTGTACCACATCACACACATACACACCGTATGCAATGACAAGATTCAAAACCTGAAATCTGCATTGCAAATAGTATTTTCAGGAAAAACACTTCTGAACAAGTGTCGCTTGAATGGTTCTGACCTATACAGCAAACATATATCAATTAGTGTGAGAACACTATTGCCATCAATATGGTGCAGAAACACTCTGTAAGCTGGGGCCTTCAGTCAATTTTACAAACAGCCCTACTTATCTCGTTTACCTATAATAGTGGCAGGAAAATCAAGCTAGAACAGCTGTTCTTTATTATTAAACTTGGAAATAAACAAATTTGCAGGAGTCTGCCATTGAGTCTGGTAAAAGAGCACCATGCATGAAAGGAAAACAATGGTAAAAATGCACCCCAAAGGTTTGTATGTATCAGTGCTTCTGTTGAAAGCTAGCTAACATGTTTTTAATTCAAAGGAAGCAGATTTAGCCTAAGTTTTAAAAAGACACTGAAAAGAGGCCCAAATAAAGTGCTCTTCTGCAACTCAATCAAAATGTATTTCTTGCAATCAAAGCACAACTGGGAAGGCAGCCCTAGGATGTCAGGAAAACAATATGGCTGCTTGAATAGGTTGCAGACCGGTGCACCATCAAACCCAGAGCCTCATAGTGCTATTTAATACGTCTTTTAACATTTAGTGAGCCATTAACACTAAGTGGCAGGGGTGGGATTCAAACGGTATTAGTACCGGTTCGGTGTAACGTTTTGCATGGTCTAGGAGCAGGGAGACCCGGGTCTTGTCCCTGCTTAACCCAACTTCAGTTGTGAGAAAATTAGGCAATTAGGAGTTTTGTTTGCACCTTTGAATTATATATAAAAGGTGAGATTTTTAAAGAAATTTAGTACTAATTCAGTGCAGGAATCTCAACCATGGCAACTTTAAGATACAGCTGGGGAATTCTGGAAGTTGAAATCCACACATCTTATAAGTTGTTGAAGTTGAGAAACACTGATCTAATGGATACACTTGCGGTGGCTTTGGACCGTCTCCCTTGGCCCAACCTATCTGAAAGGATTCTTGTCAGAAAAATAGGAGGGAGGATTATGTATGCTGCCCTGCACTCTTTTATACAAAGTGGGATATAAATAAAATTAGAAATATTTTTATAACTTTCTTTCTGGGAAGGGGCATTATCTCTAAACATTATATTCTGATATTTGTTCATCCTAAAGCAGCTGCACTTGCTTCAGTCCCTGCCCTAAGAAAACGGAGGAACTCGACATAACATGTCAGCACCCTGTCAAATCTTGAGCATCCCTCCTCCCCCTCAAAGGTAGAAGTATTATTCAATTGCAAAAGAAAAGAAAAGCTGCTTGCTCTGCCTTAAAATTGGCATTGATCTTTGGCTTGTGCCCTTAGAATGGCATCTGGGAACAATCAAAGATTTCATAAAGGCAGTAGAGCAAGTATACCAAGGAACATCTTTATTACGAGCCCTCTTCAGACAAATGTGTCAGATTTCATCTCTCATATAATTCCAGTCATATTCACTGTCCATATTTGACTGAGGATCAGTGACATTGAAGGCTACACATCTGAAAAACACCAGGTTTGAAAGGTGTGCATTGAAAACTTTATCAAGCTTCACGGTCCTACCAAAGCCTGAATATCCACTCACCGTTTTGCTATTCTGTCCTGCGTACGGAGGCAGTTGTAAACGTGATCTCTCCTGCTATACCGTAACTGCCTGCAAAAGCTGCTTTATCCCCAGCTCCTGAGCCATTCTTCCCATTCATCACATCTTCCAGAGGAATGGCAACTGAAAGAAAAACTGGAGTTGGCGGCCTGCCACTATCTTGTGCAGGGTTAAAATTGGGGTTGGCCATTTTTGGATCCGCTGCCCTGGCGATTGGTACGGGAATTGTAGCGAACCTCCTCACAGTACCAGCAGCGTCCGGCTGTGTGAGAACAGCATGGCCTGGGATAGGTTTCCAGTCCTGTTTATTCTGAACAGAAGAGCCCACTAAAATGAAAGGTGGTGCATTTCCCTTCTTCCCATCTTCCATCATCACATAAGTTGGAGAGGACACTTGTGGTGGTTGACCTTGTTGTAACATCTGCGGCTGTAGATACTGCGGTTGGTCCTTACCACTAGATATGAATAGGGTTGCTTGGGGAACAGTAGCACCAGTTCCAACAGGTGGAAGGGGTGGTGGAGGTGGTGGTGACTTACGACCTTGTTGTTTCAAATCAGTTAGACAATAGAGAGTCCACACATTAGAATATGGTGGTGGCTGTCCTGGTTCGCTTGTTGCCATGGCTATAAAATAAAAATTTAAAGAAAAATTTGCTGGCATCAAAGACCATCTACTAGGATGCATGAACTGCAGTCATAATGCATAGCTTTACAAACAACTTTATGCCGCAAAGAAGCATGTTACAAAGAAGAGAGAGTCTGTAGAGGCAAAACGTTGGATCTTGATCTATTGAAAATAGAGGGACAACAGCAAAGTGCCGTGGGGTTGAAGCTGCAGTTCAGCTTAGAAAGATGTTGATTTGGCTAACCAGGGCACATTTTCAATTCAAGCCATTCATTCATTACAAGAAATTGCCAATATTCAACATGTGTCAGAGTCCTTTTGTCAGCATAACTTCAGTCAGCTAGATTTTCCAGGCTTGCCCCACAGGTGAAGCCTTAGGGTCTTGTATGAATTCATTTTAATCAGCTCTCCAGTGAGTCAGTGCAAAAGCTGTTGGATGATCAACTCAAACTCAAATGACTGGCAGCTTAAAATATTGAAAAAAATCCATCCATGACAAGCTTCAGGATCCTTTTAACCCTTCAGCATTCTCTCTTCTGTTAACATGCTTTGGTTTCTTACCTACCTATCTCTCTAACGGAACATGATTCTTGGGAGATTTGGCAATTGGAGGTCAATGGATTTTTAAAAAAACATTAATCTTTCTCCAGCTGTGAACAATGGTGGCTTAGACACTTATTACTGAGGCGAGAAAACATTTGGAACAGGTCCTGCCAGGGAGGAAAGCAAGGCCTCCTGTTACAACAATCCCACTTTTCTAAGTAAGAAGCCACTAGTCCACCTTCTGTAGGCATCTGGAGAAGACTGGACCTAACGGGACAAGCGAAGGCAACCACCACCATTTCCTTTAAATGCAAAAACCATGTCAATGCCACAGTTGAGTCTACTATGTTTTTAAAAAAGAAATTAGTCACAGTCACCACCTCATTTTCCTTCGGCTGCCATGGGCATGTGTGCAATTTTGATTCGAGCTGTGCAGTTTACTGTGAGCAAGTCTTCTGGTAGGAAAATGAAAGGCCAAGCATCTTCTATACCAGTGTTCCCTTGCTGAATTTCATCCCATGCTGCTTCTCCGTCTCTGTACAAAAAGAATATAATACAGGAACAGGAAACTAGGGCAAACTTGTGCAAAGAAAACTTTAGGGCTTATTCACAATCCACTGCACATCTGGAAGCATCCCACAGGCAAAAATTCCACACATGCACAATCTGCCTGACAAGTGCTGTGGGCCTGTTAACACCCCAAAACAAAAGTAACCTTCATTTACTTCAACCCTGCAGTGGCATGGCTATTTGCATTTAAATACGTTCCAGTCCTTGAGGCACTTTCTTGGCCAAAGCCATACTGCAGGAGTGGAGAAACTTGTAGCCTTCCAGATATTGCTGAACTACAATATCCAACATCTCCCAGTACTGACTGTAACGGCTGAGACTGTTGGCAATTCTAGTTCAGCTGTAGCTGGAGAACTTACCCCTTTCCTGCTAATTTATTGCCAGCTTTTACCAACATAAATGCGCCCAAGGAGATGGAAATGATTACTATTTACGGAGCTAAAATATTACAACATGGAATAGGAAGGATTCAGAAATATCTTGACTTTCTTACCTGACATAATAAAACCTGGGTCAGTTGGTTTCAGTTGCTCTGTAGTATCCATTCTGTCAGGGTCACATTCTGCATCATCTGCAGATGGATCTAGAATACTAGTAAACTGGCCTGAATTTAGTGAAGCTGTTAGTGGATCTAAGAGACAGGCTACTGTGTCTACGAAAGGAATGACTATCTGCTGTGGAAACTGCTCCACATAAGGTGGTGGTACAGGCTCTCCACCAGCGCTGGGGTCATCATCACCCGCAGGTGTGATGTGTATGTCTGATGTGAGCTCAATTTCACTTGGGCAACCCTCTGGCAACAGGTCTTTATCAGGAGGCGGTGGTGGTAGCGGCGGGGGTGGCTCTCCTTCCTGCAAGGGATCTGAGGAAGCTTGTTCTACTAGGTCAGCAGGTGGCTGCTCCGCCAGGCTGCCCGAGATAGCTATTTCCTCCTGGACGGCGGTCTGACTTTGAGTGACTGATCCAGCCCTGAGAGAAGTTGCAGAAGTTCTGTTTTCTGCTTCCTCTGGGGCAGCTTCCCCTTCCTCTGGGGCAGGTTCTGCTTCCGCTGGGGCAAGTTCTGCTTCCTCTGGGGCAGGTTCCGCTTCCTCTGGGGCGGGCTCTACTTCCTCTGGGGCAGGTTCTGCTTCCACTGGGGCAGGTTCTGTTTCTGCCTCAGCAGGTTCTGCTTCTGCCTCAGCAGGTTCTGCTTCTGCCTCAGCAGGTTCTGCTTCTGCCTCAGCAGGTTCTGCTGCTGCTGCTGCCTCAGCAGGTTCTGCTGCTGCTGCCTCAGCAGGTTCTGCCTCAGCAGGTTCTGCTTCTGCTGGGGCAGGTGCTTCTTCTTCAGCAGGTTCTGTTTCTGCTGGGGCAGGCTCAGGGGCAAGCTCAGGGGCAGGCTCAGGGGCAGGCTCTAGGGCAGGTGCCGGAGCAGGTAGTTGACCAAGTGCAATCGCGGCCATTGCCTCACTGGGAGTATGGGACAACGTAGGAAGGGTCTGCACAGAGATGGCCACATCCTTCAACTCAGGCTCAGCACCCATCGTTTCAACGTTACCTAGCATTTGTGATGCTAGCTGAGCTGGATCGGCTGGGATATAAGCGAGTCCTGCTCCCTTGTCATCTCCAACTTTTTCTACAAATTCGTCAACAGTAGATGGGAATTGAGTAGTTTTGGTGCTCAGTTCACGAGACTCTTCGCTTATCTGGTCCTCTTCTGTGTCTGTCGATTTCTCCTTCCGTTTGGGTTCATCATGAATTGGAATCGTGTCAAGATCTGACCGAAATGCATCTCCAACGTCTGCCCTTTTAGAACGGGGCATCTGTGTTGCTGCTCCTGGTCCTTCTGCCCATCCCTCCACTGGGGGAAGATAAATAGGAAATGAGGTAAAAAGAGATGCCCATCAACACAAAGAAAAACCACTGACTCCCATGTCAATTTTGGAAGTTAAATATCTGTCTTTCATCTGCCATTAGAGAAAGCATGTAAGAGCTGTGGTGGCTCAGTGGTTAAAGCGCAGTACTGCAGGCTACTTCTGGTCACCGGCGACCAGCAGTTTGGCAATTCGGGTCTCATCAGGCTCAAGGTTAACTCAGCCTTCCATTCTTCCAAGGTGGGTAAAATGAGGACCCAGATTGTTGGGGGCAATAGGCTGATTCTGTAAACCACTTAGAAAGGGCTGTAAATCACTGTGAAGCAGTATATAAAGTCTAAGTCTATTACTATTGCTAATACAAGGCTGTACATGATTGGTGGAACCAGAGGTCACTTCGTTCATTTAACTGCACACGTTGGTCTATGGCTGCAGATGAGAAAATGTCTGCAGGCTTTTCTAATAACCCATCACACAGCAAGGTTGGCTGTTTCTCACGTTCATTCTGTGTATTTCTTTAATTATTCATTTCACACATTTATAAGACCAATCGATGCAAGCAAGGTGACTCTGGGTGGCATGGCTCAGAAGTAAACACAAACAAAAATTAAATCTCCATTCTAAAAAGAAGTCAAAATACATAAAGCACATGGGAAGAGATTTGGTGTCTGACCACCAGATGTTCAAATGTTGTATTGAAAAAAATGTAAGCAGAAGAATCAGATGCTGCGAATGCCAGCTTTGCCCTAGAAATGGATTTTAATGCCTATTATTGAGAGGTAGGTTGGAAAAAAGCCTTCTTTAAAAATTAGAGCAATGTTTCTCAACCTTAGCAATTTTAAAAAGTGTTGACTTGCCGGCTGGGGGGATTCTGGGAATTGAAATCCATACATTTCAACCTTGCTGAAGTTGAGAAATATGACCTAGACAGATTGCTAGGTACGATAAACGTAACTGTTTATTGAAATGTGTTTAAGTATTAGTAGCTCGGGTTGGTACCATGTTTCTCATAAAACACAACCCACCCCAATAATAAGCCCAATCCTAATTTTTGGGGGGTGGGCCTAATATTACCCCTACCCCGAAAATAAGCCCAGGGGATGGGCATGGCCGGCATGAGTGGTGGCGCGGGCATGGGGGGGGGGAGGCAAGTGTCCGGCTGCAGAGAGGGGCGAAAATCATTCAGCGTTGAAGCAGAGGCATTCTGAGCCTTCAGCATATCCCAGGATTGCAATGCTGAAAATTCGGAATGGAACCTCTGCGTTGCAATCCTGGGATACACTGAAGGCTCGGAGTGGAGCCGTTTGTCGTGAAAGGCAGGAAAATTTCCCTCCCCATTTTCCTGCCTGTTATCCATTCCTCTTACAGCAGGATCCTGCAAGGCTTATCGTGGTGTTGCACTCATGAATGGCAGCACCTCCATAAGCTTCATCATACCGGTGCAGCTGGCATCCTACCATGAGCAGCTGCGCCAGTGTATCCAAAGTCGCAGCGGTGCCGTCGCTCTCATGCACAACGGCACAGCAATCCTTGCAGGGTCCTGTTCAAAGAGGCTGCTCCGATGTGAGGAACCTCACAGCAATACCGCCACTCGCATGCACAACGCTACAACAAGCCTTGCAGGGTCCTGGGATATGCTGAAGGCTCGGAGTGGAGCCGTTTTTGCAAAAGGCAGGAAAATAGGGAGGGAGAAGGAGCTTGAGGAATGGATGACAGGCAGGAAAATCCCCCCTCCCCATTTTCCTCCCGTTTGCCAAGAACCCTCCATTCCGAACGCTGAAGTTTTGGAATTGAGACTTTTTGGCGAACAGAGAGAAAAATGGGGAGGGGGAATTTTCCTGCCTGCCATTTTTCCCTCAGTCTGTGCTAAGCTTGTGGAATGGCTCCTTTTGGCTGCTACAGAAGCGGCCTGGTGGAGAGGCAAGGGTACGCATGGGGCGCTCTTAGCTGCTAAAGAAGGGGCCCCGTTGGAGAGGCAAGGCACGTGGGGCATTCCTTGGGATAGAAGCAGCCCAGTGGCTGGATGAGGCATGCGGGAGGGAGATTAAGACACGCCTCAAAAAGACGGCCTAGCCGTTTTGGGGGGGTGGGTCTAAAAAAAATAAGGCCTGTCTTATTTTCTAAGAAACACGGTAGTTAGGTTGTAGGTTTGAACTCAGAGCTTGGGAATTTAGTTGGAAATGTTTCATGATCATTCGAGGAGACATCGTCAGTGCGTTTTGAGTTGTGCTTGTCAGAAGCACCCCGATAAACAACTCTAATCCTAATCTGTATCACATAGACAGTACTTAACTATAGCCCAGCAACAACAGCCAGCCAATCAAGCAGTCCGAAATCAGACCATGACTCAGAAATATCCAAACAAACAACAGTCAGACTACTTTGCATCTCACAAAAATGTATTTAAAGATCTGAGTTTTCACAGACGAGCACAACTCAAAATGTCTCCTTGAATGGTGACAAAACATTTGCAAGCAAATTGCCACGCTCAGATTTCAAACCAACAGCATCACTGTTTATATTCCATCAGATTCAGCATAGAGAAACCTCTTTTTAAAGTTCTTATGAAATATCTTTGGAGCCCCATATTCTATGTGCCCTGGAAATGATTAGAGATTTTTCCATGCTGGCAAACCATTTCTTACTTTGTGTCCTATCATTAGAGGTTACAGATTGATCCTACATATTTATTCAGCCAACCAGACGTTTGCAGAAGAGGAGGTTGAAATGGCGGAACCCAGTTTTCCTTATGTTTTCCTATCTATTCTGACAGTTGGTCACAGTAATTTTAGTTTTAGTATGAAGGCTTTTAGAACTCTTTCCATTTTACTGCAGTTTACTTCCAGAAGATTATCTTTTCTTCTAGAACTGCTTTGTCAAAGACTGACACCTGGCAGAGAGGAGATGAATCAGATGAATCATTATAACTACTACTGGGCAAGAAGTATAAATAAGAAATGTGCATTAATAGGAGGATGAGGAATTGCTAGAGCATATTATATAAGGTTTTGGAAACCTACCTGGGATGAGCTCAGTACAAATCTATATGGGAAAGGTGCTATAGCCAGGACCTATAGCCAGAATAATCCAGGGAATATCTTTGCTAAAGAAGAGTTCTCAGTTACTGAACAAGACTGAGATTTTCTCATGTATTTGTAGTCCTCTGTTGAACTTCACTGTTTCTACAGCTATTTTCTGTATATACTATGCTTTACAGTTAGTCTCTCCTTTGCTATGCTTTGGTGAACACATCCTTTCAGTTTTTACTTCATTTTTCTAATGTTTTCTGGAAGTTTTGAATAGGGGTATTAGGCAAGATGAGAGAATAAAAGGTATAAATATCAAAAAGGAAGTTTATAAATTGAGAGCATTTGCTGATGATTTGGTTATATTTTTGTAAGACCCAAACCCCAATATATAATGTCTGATGAAGAAATTAAATGAGTTTGGAGCATTAGTCAGCTTTATAATAAATAAGCAGAAAATAACAGTGCTTGTTAAGAATATGATCTCTCAGGATTATAAAATATTGACTAAAACGTCGAGTTTTAAGGTGGAGAAAAAAAATAAAAAGTGGGGTTATATTGACAAATACAAATGCTAAATTGATTCAAAATAACGTTGTGCCTCTTTGGAATGATATTAAAAAATGCTTATGAGATAAACTGCAACTATCATTAATAGGTAGAATCTCTGTAATTAAGATGAATGTTTTTACCAAATATAGTTTTTCTGTTTCAGAGTACTAATATTTATAACTGATACTCTATTTAAACAATGGCATATGGATAATCTCTAAATTTATATGGCAAGGGGAAAAAACCAAGAATTAGATATAAATTATTGCAAGATGCTAAGGAAAAAGGGGGTTTCGGTTTACCCAATTTGAAATTGTATTTTGATGCTTGTTGTTTGGTCTGACTAAATGAATGGATGGCTCTTCAAAATAAAAGGTTACTTGAAATGGAGAGCCATGAATTAAGATTTGGATGGCATGGATATTTATGGTATGATAAAGTTAAAATAAATGTTGATTTCACTAATCACTTTGTTGGAAATCCCATCCTAAGAGTTTGGAATAAATATAAAGTAAGGTTCTCTGTGAAGATGGAAACCCTTCTAGAAAATAAACCACAAGATAATCCAAAAGGTAAATGAGTAATGAACAATACCTCGACATTTTCTCAATATTGCTGTAAAAATTGCTCAATCCTAAAATCCTAACCCTTGATTAACTCAAGGATATGCCACTGTTTTTTCCTGGCAACAATATTGATGTGGTCTGCCATAGCATTAATGCATCATGGTCTCTCATCCAACTGTTAATCAAGCCCAACCCTACTTAACTTTTTCAAAGTCAGCTAGAGTCAATTTGGTACAGCCACCTGCTATAATTTCAATTATGGTTCAGATTTAGTCTTACTGAGGGAAAATTTTGAAATCAATAAGGAAGTTTGTTGTGATTAATTTAAGCTCTGTTCATTTCTATAGGTCAATTTATAATTCAGTTGGATTCAAAAGGAAAGTTTATATGATTAATTTAAGCTCTGCTCATTTCTATGGGTCAATCTATAATCCAGGTTCACACATCTGACTGTAATGTTTTCTTTAACCAGGCTTCAACTTAACTGTCCTTAAACCATTAGTGATGATTACAAATCATATTATGCTAAGACAGAAACATTAATGATTTAGTAGTATGCTATGTAACCCAGCTTAACTATTGCCACATCTTAGCCCAATTATGAGTACTAACTTATGGCAAAGATAAATATCTTATATACAAGATTTCAGGTTTTAGAAAAACCATGCCTAAAATGTCAGGTAGTTCTCAGTGGTGGGCGGGTGTATATTTAAAAAACTCGCTGCCTTCCCAAATGTATTTAACTTCAGCTTTCATAACTGCCAGCCATTGAACTAGGAGAGGATTTATAGTTATAGCTCAACCTATTTGAAGGGCAATAAATTGGAGAAAGTGATTTTATAATATGACAGGGCAGAACAAGACGAAAGGAGAAAGTATTTGAGATCAATTAAACCTGAGGTCCCTCTGGTGGTGGGAGAAAGTTTTGTTTTGTTTTGTTGAAGTATGAAGAGGGGAAAACAGCAAAGGGAAGCAAGACAGCATGCAGGCATGAAGGTTAGCCAATCAAAGAACCACAAAACGTTTTTGATTTAAGCTATTACATTATACAGAGAGCAATAAAAGTATCCAGGAATTTCTACCAGAAACAGAGTGAAAGACAAATTCAAGATCACAGGAGTTTTGTTTTGTTTTTTTGCAACAGACCACAAACTAGTTTAGCTTGTCCTACCACCAAGTTATTTTTGGTTAATTTATGCTTGGTGTGTTTTGCAAATCCAGAAATATTAAGTAGATAAAAGTTGTGAGTAGGCATGGTGTCTCAACAGTGTTATCTTGAGTCACAAATGTGTTTTTGCCCGCCATGGTGTGGGAACCTGGCAGCTGTCACTAGTACAGTAGTCAAAAAAGAGAATACGTGTAGTGTATAGAGCTGAGAAGTGAAATGAGAAATGTGCAAAGAGATAAAAAGAACACACACCCCCACACCCAAGATGGCTGCTAAATGGTAGGAATTTTTCTCTTTCTTGCCAATGATCTGCTGATTTTGCTGCCAGAACTGGTTCTCTAGCAGTGTTGCTCCCTAGATGTGAATGGGAACATTTAAGAATGACCCAGACCAAGGGTCTCCAACCTTGACAACTTTAAGCCTGGAGGACTTCAACTCCCAATATTCCCCCAGCCATGGACCGCATCTGGGAAGTGGAGTCTTGAAGATTTCAGTTCCCTTTGGGAGAGGTCCAAAAGTCAAGGCATCCATCTTACTTTCAGCATTTTGTTTTCTATTCTTTAATTTTGGGGGAGTTTGGTATTTTAATCTTTTTTTGAATAAAATAAAAATTTGAATTAAAAAAAGAGAAATATTCATTTTCCAAATATGCCGATTCTTTTTTTAAAAAAGCTGCAACATTGCCATGTCTAAAATGCAGAACAGTGGAATAGATATCTTCAGCAGGACTGTGTTCTATACAATGTAAACAACTTTCTTTCTCCTACTCCTTTTGCCTCATACACAAACACAAATCACACCAGTCTTTCTGTGAGCTGAGCATTTCATGGACAGCAATATTATGGCTACTGAGATCCTATCTCCATCCATGAATCTTGCCCAGTCTGAAGCTAGCATTACTTTATTAAATGCAAGTATCTAGCTAACCTAAATTGCTGGGATCATTTAATGTAAAACCAATTAGTATAAGCCTCATCCCTAGTAAACCATAAGCAAGATGCAAGGAGAAGGAGGGGGGAAATACTTGGCCAATCGGGTTCACACACCAATATAAATCAGTTTGTGCTCACCCAAGTCTGTTAAACAAAATGTCGTTTTTCAACATGGATGACAGAAGCCATATTTGCATTTGGCTGCGGCTAAAGCATTTTTGTATCAGGTGAATGTCTTTGGGACCCATATGGAATCCAGGGGCATTTTTGGCAAGGAAGATTGGTATCCCTATTTTACAGGATGCCAGATACTCAATTTTTATTTAAAGTAAAAATACTAGTTTTCAAAAAATGTGGGATCCCTGCATGGCATCCTCAGAGTTGCAGTCAAAATGAAAAATTCAGAACAGCTAAAAGGCTTTCAAAAACTGTTTGGATAGGAAACATAGAAGAATCACAGAGTTCTAGATTTGCAGGGTGCCTGAAGAGTGACACACTTCCACAGTGATGGAATTCCCCTGTTTTAATCATCCTAGCACCCCAAGTCTCAGTTAGATAACTGTGGACTGATGAGGAATATGTGAACACATAAAGTTTTCCCATAGTGATACAGTACAATCTCAGCCCTGGTAGAAACTCGAAATTTTTCGCTTTGCTTAACAACCCTTCAACATTCTCTCAAGAAATTGTTCCAGTCTCCAGGACATCCCTGGACTGCACTAAAATTACATTCTCTACAGAGGTGGTATTCAGCAGGTTCTGACCAGTTCTGGAAAACCGATAGCGGAAATTTTGGGTAGTTCAGAGAACCGCTAGCTGAAATTTTGAGTAGTTCAGAGAACTGGCCAATACCACCTCTGACTGGCCTCACACCCATCTATTCTCTGCCTCTCGAGCTGGCTCTTCTTTTGTTGCCCTGCACAGGAGAAGGGAGATGGAAAGCAGGTTAGTGGGGTGGTGAGGGAATGAGGATTTTGCAGGATCGTTCCCCCAGGAGTAGGGAGGGAATGGAGATTTTGCAGTATCCTTTCCCTGCCACGCCCACCAAGCCACGCCATACCCAAGCCATGCCCACAGAACCGGTAGTAAAAAAATTTGAATCCCACCACTGATTCTCTGTCTGACCAATCTGTCTCTCATCTTTTGTTTCAGTGAACAAAAGTATGAAGCATTAGGCTTTGACAAATACACAAATCTATAGAACCAACAATTTCACTCTACTGCTATTTCAACCAACTGCCCAGCTGATCTTTTTTTAATTAGGAATTTCTTTGTTATATTTAATTCACACAAATTTAAGTCACTTTTTGTTTTTCAGATTTATACTCTTAACCACGATGGATGGAAGGGTGGATGGTTTTTAATGTAAAAACTATGTCAGGGAGGAGGAGAGCCTTCTTTTCCACTTTCAATCACAGCCTCAGCAACTATATTTATATATTCTTTAAAATATCCCCTTAAAAGAAAACAAGCTACATTAAATAATGTACAGCCTGGCCACAAATCATTTTTAGTGCTAATCTCATACCTCTTGTCACATGAAATTCTCTCACCAGTTCTTTGATATCTAAATTAGGATGTTCTGGAAAGAAAAGATGGAGAAAGGAAATCAATTTATGGACCTAAATCTCTGCTTGTACAAAATTGATATGTGAAACACATTTCCTATCAGAGCTAATATAAGGACATGCTAGTTTGAATGATTGTTGGTTTGCTTTATACTGGTGGATATCTAACCTTTTAAAACAAACAAAAAAGACAAACCTTCTCGAAAATTTATCAGTTCTTTGAAATACTCAGCAGCAAACTCAGTGATGTTGGAGGGAGTAGCTTTGAGAACAGCTCTGCTCACTCCTTCAAGTAGAGTCTTGAGGCCATATGGGACCACCATCCTGGGCTTTGCAGTATGCATTGTTGCCAGTTGAACATGAAACTGCAAATTCACAACTGAAAGGAAAGAAGAGGGATGAAAAAGGATTGTGGCACCCCAACAATCTGTACTTCAGCCTCTCCCAAGCCAGTAGTACCAGATGTGTTGGGTTTAAACTGCTATAATCTTAGACTGATTGTAAGATTAGAGGACTTTAAGATCCAACATATTTGGAAAGTACCAGATCAGGAAGCATTAATCTAGCCTTATAGTATTTGTGGATTCATCTTTATATAACTTGAAGATTTATCCTAAGAGCTCTTATGAATCAAATCCAGTCAAGTTGGCTTCATGTGCATTTAGATGCACCTCTCCTACTGGCTGATGAATTGACTGATAGAAAAATCCTAGTGCACACAAACTTTGGGTGGAAATTTGTTTTCTGTCATCATTTAACAAATCATTTCAAAAATCACAGTGAGGCATAAGGTAACTTCAATGTTAGCTCAGATTGAGTTGATCAATATGTCAGAATATTATTTTCAAAAGTTAGATTTAAACTGAAAGTGTTACTTTTTGAAATTGTACATAATATAAAACAAAAGAAACAATAAGACAGGACCAACTTTAATGGCTTTAGAATTCCTTTAGAATTTTTAAACCAATGTTTCATTACTTTTGGTACAATCTAATTCCCATGAATAAGTGCCTTCTGAATATGGCAGTAAATTGCAAGTAAATACATGGTAAATAATTAAAACAATTGCAAATAAATCAGTTAAAATATGTGGAACTGAAGCATAGAGAACTTGATCAGGAGGACATTAAAGTGAACCCAGAAAAAAACAATGAAATTAGGATATCAAACAAAGATATACGGTTTAAAAGGAATTGGTGGTGGTGTAGTAAAATCACAAATTTAAAAGGAATTGTGAATGATGTTGTAGTTAAATCACAAATTGAAAAATTAGGAAAAATTGTTTGTAAAGCTTAAGGCTTACATTTGAATATACAGAATATGGAAAGTAAAGAATGGAAGAACTTTTATCACAGGGAGAAAAATATGATAATAATCAGAGACCCATAATAATCGTACCCCTGAAAGGACCTAATGGCAAAGACTGCAACGATGACACCATCAAAGCAAACCTCTTTAATACCTTCTTTGGCTCAGTATTTGTAAATAGCAATGGAGCAAGCCCAGTGCTTCCTAGTCGAACCACAGACAATGATCAAATACATATTGATTTTACAGAAGACATTGTTGAAAAAGCACTGCGCAATCTAAAACCATCCCTATCTATTGGACTGGACGAAATATGTGCCTACTTCTTAAAAAAGCTATCCACTGCCATAGCTGAACCTCTAAGCATAATCTTTGAAAAATCTTTCAGGACCAGCTCCTTGCCAAAACTATGGTCACAAGTCACAGTCATTCCCATCTTCAAAAAGGGAGACCCCAGCCTAGTGGAAAATTACAGACCAATCTTCTTATGCTGCGTCACCCGTAAAGTCATGGAATCAATTATTAACTAATCCATTATCTTCTACTTAGAGACAAACAACCTACTCTCAAATAAACAATTTGGTTTCAGAAAAAAACTATTCTGTAATCTGCAACTCTTACACTGCAAAAACATATGGACTACACAACTCGATCAGGGCAAAGCAATAGGCGCAATCTACATAGACTTCTGTAAATCCTTTGATTCAGTGGTACACGACAAACTACTCCTAAAAATAAAATCTTATGGTATCTCTGGACACCTACATAACTGGATAGAAGCATTCCTGTCAAACAGACAACAAGTGGTCAAAATTGGAAGCGTCCTATCAAATTCTGTACCTGTCAACAGTGGTGTCCCCCAAGGCTGTGTTTTAGGACCAACTCTCTTCATACTCTACATAAATGACCTCTGTGATCGTATTAAGAGCAACTGCATTCTCTTCGCTGATGTTGTAAAGTTATTCAACACCACAGACAATACTACTACCCTCCAAAAAGACCTTGGCTATGTATCAGAATGGTCAATCAAATGGCAACTTCAAATCTCAACAAATAAATGCTCTGTCTTACATATTGGCAAAAAAAATCAGAAAATAAAATACAAGCTAAATAGTCAAGACCTTGTTGAGATCCAAACTCTGTCAAGGATCTTGGAGTACTCATCTCTAATGATCTAAGTGCTAGAGCCCACTGTAACTACATAGCCAAAAAGGCATTAAGAGTTGTTAATCTAATCCTGCATAGCTTCTTCTCTAGTAATATCACACTACTAACTAGAGCATACAAAACATTTGCTAGACATATATTTGAATACAGCTCATCAGTCTGGAACCCATATCATGTATCTGATATTAACACAATTGAAAGAGTCCAGAAATATTTCACAAGAAGGGTTCTCCGCTCCTCTACTCATTGCAGAATACCTTATGCCACCAGACTTTAAATTCTAGACCTAGAAAACCTAGAACTACGCCGCATTCAGTCCGATCTAAATATAGTATATAAAATCATACATTGCAATGTCCTACCTGTCAATGAATATTTCAACTTCAACCATAACAATACAAGACCACACAATAGATGCAAACTCAAGATTAACCACACCAAACTTGACTGCAGAAAATACGACTTCAGCAACAATGTTCAAAATACTCTATCTGACTCTGTGGTTTCTTCCCCAAACCCCCAAAACTTTAATCTTAGACTGTCTACTATTGACCTCACCCCCTTCCCAAGAGGCCTGTAGGGGACCTGCACAAGCACACCAATCGTGCCTACCGTCCCTGTCCTATTGTTTCTTTTTATTTTTCCTATAAGTATCTATCTGATGTATTCAAAACTATGTTTATTCTTATTCCTGTATCTTGTAAGCAATTGACAAATCAAATAAATAAACAAACCTGCTGAGATAAGTCTTACTGGAATATAACAATCAAATATATTCTAGAGAAGGGGTGTCACACTCGTGGTATCATGTTGTTGTCACATGACATATTGCTATTTCCTCCCCTTCACTAAAATGGCGGTGGGGTGGCCAGCGTGTGACAAATCTGGCCTGTGGGCTGCAAATTTGACATCCCTGTTCAGAGGAACAAACGCAGTAGAAGAATGAGAAACTGCATTATAAGCTGCTATATAAAATAAACCCTGCTCAAAACCCCAAATTAATTAATGTGTGTGAATGTAGATGATAGATAGATAGATAGATGATAGATAGATAGATAGATAGATAGATAGATAGATAGATAGATAGAT